TGAATTAGGTCTTTTTTTGAAAATATGATTATGATAAAATTCATTTTCAGGAGGGGTGACTCAATTTTTTTAATAGTTCTTTTTGTTGTGGAAAATGTGTTCAAATTCATGAATTATGGTCTTTTGTAAAAATATGAAAATATGATAAAATTCATTTTCAGGGGGTTGACTCACTTTTTTGTAATAGTTCTTTTGTTGTGGAAAATGTGTTCAAATTCATGAATTTGCTCTTTTGTAAAAATATGAAAATATGATAAAATTCATTTTCAGGGGGTGGTTGACTTTTTTGTAATAGTTCTTTTGTTGTGGAAAATGTGTTCAAATTCATGAATGATGCTTTTGTAAAAATATGAAAATATGATAAAATTCATTTTCAGGGAGAGTTGACTATCTTTTTTGTAATAGTTCTTTTGTTGTGGAAAATGTGTTCAAATTCATGAATTATGCTCTTTTTTGAAAATATGAAAATATGATAAAATTCATTTTCAGGGAGGGTTGACTATTTTTGTAATAGTTCTTTTGTTGTGGAAAATGTGTTCAAATGCATGAATTATGGTCTTTTTGAAAATATGGATTCATGATAAAATTTATTTTCAGGAGGGGTGACTCAATTTTTTTTATAGTTCTTTTGTTGTGGAAAATGTGTTCAAATTCATGAATATGCTCTTTTTGTAAAATATGAAAATATGATAAAATTCATTTTCAGGGGGGTTGACTCTTTTTTGTAAAGTTCTTTTGTTGTGGAAAATGTGTTCCAATGCATGAATTATGGTCTTTTTGTGAAAAAATGGATTATGATAAAATTCATTTTCAGGGGGTGACTCATTTTTTGTAATAGTTCTTTTGTTGTGGAAAATGTGTTCAAATTCATGAATGCTCTTTTGGTAAAAATATGAAAATATGATAAAATTCATTTTCAAGGGAGTGACTCTTTTTGTAATAGTTCTTTTGTTGTGGAAAATGTGTTCAAATTCATGAATGATGCTCTTTTGTAAAAATATGAAAATATGATAAAATTCATTTTCAGGGGAGGGTTGACTATCTTTTTTTGTAATAGTTCTTTTTGTTCTGGAAAATGTGTTTAAATTCATGAATTATGCTCTTTTTAAAATATAAAATATGATAAAATTCATTTTCAGGGAGGGGTGACTCATTTTTTGTAATAGTTCTTTTGTTGTGGAAAATGTGTTCAAATGCATGAATTATAGTCTTTTTGAAAATATGAAAATATGATAAAATTCATTTTCAGGGAGGTTTGATTTTTTGTAAAGTTCTTTTGTGTGGAAAATGTGTTCAAATGCATGAATTATGGTCTTTTGAAAATATGGAAATATGATAAAATTCATTTTCAGGAGGGTGAATTATTTTTGTAATAGTTCTTTTGTTGTGGAAAATGTGTTCAAATGCATGAATTATGGTCTTTTGTAAAATATGAAAATATGATAAAATTCATTTTCAGGGGGTGGACTCAATTTTTGTAAAAGTCTTTTTGTGAAAATGTGTTTTGAAAATGTGTTCAAATGCATGAATTTTCTTTTGAAAATATGAAAATATGATAAAATTCATTTTCAGGGGAGGAATTCTATTTTTGTAATAGTTCTTTTTTGTGGAAAATGTGTTTAAATTCATGAATTATAGTCTTTTGAAAATATAAAATGATAAAATTCATTTTGGGGGTGGACTCAATTTTTGTAAAGTTCTTTTGTTGTGGAAAATGTGTTCAAATGCATGAATTATGGTCTTTTGAAAAATATGGAAATATGATAAAATTCATTTTCAGGGGAGGAATTCTATTTTTTGTAATAGTTCTTTTGTTGTGGAAAATGTGTTCAAATGCATGAATTATAGTCTTTTGTAAAATATGAAAATATGATAAAATTCATTTTTAGGGGTGGACTCAATTTTTTGTAAAAGTTCTTTTGTTGTGGAAAATGTGTTTAAATGCATGAATTATAGTCTTTTGTGAAAATATGGAAATATGATAAAATTCATTTTCAAGGGGGTGGATTCTTTTTGTAAAAGTTCTTTTGATGTGGAAAATGTGTTCAAATGCATTAATGATGCTCTTTTGTAAAATATAAAAATATGATAAAATTCATTTTAAGAGTGGACTCAATTTTTTGTAAAATTCTTTTGCTGTGGAAAATGTGTTGAAGTTCATGAATGTTGCTCTTTTGAAAATATGAAAATATGATAAAATTCATTTTAAGGGGGTTGACTATCTTTTTGTAATAGTTCTTTTTGTCCTGGAAAATGTGTTAAATTCATGAATTATGGTCTTTTTTAAAATATGGATTCAGGACAAAATTATTTTCAGGGGTGACTCAATTTTTTTGATAGTTCTTTTTGTTGTGGAAAATGTGTTCAAATTCATGAATTATGGTCTTTTTGTAAAAATATGAAAATATGATAAAATTGATTTATAGGGGGGTCGACTGTCTTTTTTTGAAAAATTCTTTTTGTTCTGGAAAATGTGTTCCAATGCATGAATTATGGTCTTTTTGTGAAAATATGGTTTATTTTAAAATTCGTTTTCAGGGGGCTGGATTCACTTTTCAAGGGGATAGGTATTCCTATTTTTGTAAAAGTTCTTTTTCTTGTGGAAAACGTGTTTAAATGTATGAGTTATAGTCTTTTGATCAAAATATAAAAATAGGTAAAATTCATTTTAAGGGGGGTGGACTCGATTTTCTTGTAAAAGTCTTTTTGAGTTGGAAAATGTGTTAAAATGTATGAATTATAGTCTTTTGATGAAAATATGGAAGTATGACGAAATTCATTTTAAGGGGGATGAACTCCATTTTTTTGTAAAAGTTCTTTTTGATGTAGAAAATGTGTTTAAATGCACTAATTATAGTCTTTTGATGAAAATATGGAAATGTGATTCATTTTCAAGGGGGCAGGAATTCCTATTTTTGTAAAAGTTCTTTTTTTCGTGGAAAATGTGTTCAAATGCATAAATTATAATCTTGATGAAAATATAAAAATAATAAAATTCATTTTCAGGGTGGGATGGAATTGATTTTTCATGCATTTTTCATGGACTCATATTTCCATGTTTTCATTAAAAGACTATAATTCATGCATTTTAACACATTTTCCACGTCAAAAAGATTTTTTACAAAAAATCGAGTCCACACCCCTGAAAATGAATTTTAACATATTTTTATATTTTCATCAAAAGACTATAATTCATACATTTTCCAAAACTAAAAGAACTTTTACAAAAAAAATCGTGTCCATCCCCCCTGAAAAAGAGATATATCATAGTTTCATATTTTCACCAAAAGACTATATTTCATGAATTTTAACACATTTTCCACATCAGAAAGATTTTTTATAAGGAAATCTACTCCACCCCCCCTGAAAATGAATTTTATCATATTTTTATATTTTCAGAAAGACTACAATTCATGCATTTGAATACATTTTGCATATCAAAAAGAAGTTTTACAAAAATAGGGATTCCACCCCCTGAAAGTGAATTTTATCATGTTTCCATGTTTTAATCAAAAGACTATAATTCATGCATTTTAACCCATTTTCCACACAAAAAGATTTTTTTAAAAAAACCCGAGTCCACCCTCCTGAAAATGAGTTTTATCATAGTTTCATATTTTCATCTAAAAACTATAATTCATGCATTTTAACACATTTTCCACGTCAAAAAGATTCTTTACAAAAAATTGAGTCCACCCCCTCTGAAAATGAATTTTAACATATTTTTATATTTTCATCAAAAACTATAATTCATACATTTCCAAAACAAAAAGAACTTTTACAAAAATAAGGATTCCACCCCCCCTGAAAGTGAATTTTATCATATTTCCATATTTTCGTAAATGACTATAATTAATGCATTTGAACACATATTCTACATCAAAAAGAACTTTTACAAAAAAATCTACTCCACCCCCCCTGAAAATGAATTTTATGATATTTTCATCAAAAGACTATAATTCATGCATTTGAACACATTTTCCACATCAAAAAGAACTTTTAAAAAAAATCGAGTCCATCCCCCCTGAAAATGAATTTTATCATATTTCCATATTCTCGTCAAAAGACTATAATTCATGCATTTTAACACATTTTCCACAGAAAAAGATTTTTTTTAAAAAAATCGAGTCCACCCCCCTGAAAATGAGTTTTATCATAGTTTCATATTTTCATGAATTGTAATTCATGCATTTGAAGACATTTTCCGTATCAAAAAGAACTTTTACAAAAATAAGGATTCTACCCCCTTGAAAATAAATTTTATCATAGTTCCAAATTTTCATCAAAAGGCTATAATTAATGCATTTGAATACATTTTCCAATGAAAACCATAGAACACCATTAAAAAAGAAATTAACAACAGAATGAAATACATGGCTGCGTTGCCGACGAAGGTAGCACAAATGTGGACTTTACAGTTATTGCTTGGTTGCATTTAACCATAGAATGCTTCTCTCCATTGCAGTCGCTTTCATTGTCCAAGAAATTATGTCGCTCAGCTGAGCTGGAGAAACTTCACGATGTGAATAATAAAGAATGCGAACTGCTTGCTCAAAGATGGCTTTCGGAGGAATGCGCGCAAGCAGTGATGACTTTTACAACGCAAATCAAAATATATTTGAAACATAAAGTTAATTCCTGTTTATGAAATCTTCGACGTATTTTCTTTCAGTGTATTTTATTCAGTATGATAAAAACCATTTACCACAAAGTGTTAAGCGTACAAAAGCACCTGCGCAAATATCTACTTGATGTCACGTGACAATATGTTAATTAATCACACTTATTTTTAAACAACTGCATCATTTTTCAACAAATGCGCAAGAAAATAAGGTTATTGCGACTAAGAAATCCGTTACGCCAGCAGTAAACACTGAAGTCTCAATGACTTCGACGATACAGAACGAGTGTTCGAAATTTTCCAGCAAAATTTTTTGCTATGTTTTGGAACTTGATTCAAAACGCAATTTTTCCTCAAAGTAAAGATTTTAAAATCGTGGTTAAATGAACGAATATGATTTGTTATTCAACTCAAGTTACGAATGATTTACACCAACAACGCTACAAATTCCGTTGCGAAAGGTTACAAACGGATCATTGTGACACAATATCCTATTTGTACAATAAATATTAGCACGCGCCATACGTCTGATCGCAGGTATACCTGGATGGTAAGTCATTCCTGTAAGCTCGTCCACCATCTTCTTACGATGCCATCCACAATATCATCGTTGCTGATGTACTTATGAAACAAATCGCATTCCTCGTGATTTTTATCCTCAAGTTCTTGTATATTACCGCTGACCATCAACTTCTTTCTGTCTCGCAGGCACTACAATATTAAATATGCTGCCTTACTATTTGCTGATATGGATTTTTTAAAAATTCGAAACTGTAAATGTTTTCATCATCTGCGACGCGAACGTCCATGAATAACAATAGAAATTTATTGCATTTTCAAAGGTCCCGTGTCTAGTCGCTCTCCATCTATTTTCTAAGCTCCGCCAACCTCCTCTCCTTCTGCTTTCTAATAGTGCCCACAATTCCTCTTCCTCGTAAAAATAGACACACAAACCTGCATAGAAACTTTTTGAAAGATAAATTCTGCAACAATTCCGCGTTCCTTTGCCATGTCACAGTCGAGTTTCGTGTTGCATAGAACAACAGACATTGCCTGATTTAAAGGAAATTCACCGTAAGACAAAATGAAAATTTTTGTGAAGCATCTCGGTGCTTTCATAAAAAAATAATGTGTCACGAAACACCTTTTTTAAAGACAGGGGGGGTAGGGATAGGTAGTAAACCATTTTGGGGAACTTAGATAAAGCTATTCGTAGTTTTAATTACTTTCCAATGTCACAGTTAACACCTAAAACCATAACACATCCTCTAGGTTTAAGAAAAGAAAACAATTTAATGTCTTTTGTAGCTACTTCATTCCTTTATATACGCAACTTCGAGCAAAGGGAAAGGGACCACTTCAATACCCCAGTTATATCATCACATAAAGAATATTTAGTGCAGAGTAGATCTTCTGTGAGTATCAGTTGACCACCTTCAGGTGGGCTCATATAATAATGGGGCCCATCATCATTATATGAACAAACAACTGACATCCACAAAGAATCCAAACTACAAATAAACATTCTTGGCCATGAATCACCATGACACATGAGCAATGAAAAACTAGTAAGAGTAATTGAAGTGAATGAGAGAGGTGGTAAAGGGACTTTCACAACTCCATCCATGTGGGATCTACAATGTGAGAAAATATGAAATAATGATATGCAAAGTTACAATGCATCAGCAAATTTAATTTGTCATGAAATCTCGTGCATTTCTTTCATATTATATTACATTGACTCCCAAAGACTATAGTTCCTGCACTTAACACCATAAGACTAGAGTTCATGAACATAACTCCTGACTGTTATAGTCTATGCCACTAAATCACATATATTATAATGAATCCCCCTAACTCACTAACACTATACTTCCTGCATCTAACTCATAAACACTATAATTCACACAATTAGCTGGCAAACACTATATTTCATGCACCTCACACTCAAAAACTATAGTTTATGCACATAACTCCAAAGATTACATTTCACACACCTAAGTACCAATCATTAAATACAATAGATTTTTAAGAGATGACTTTTATCACAATATCTCTTTAGACGTATTCCTGACGCTAGCAAACGTGAAAATCAAGTTGTTAGTGATTATATCTGCTAAATATGATTGAAGAAAAACATCGAGCCAAGAATCATCTAAAGACATAGAAACAGAACATAAACTTACCACATCGCTTTCAATTTCATTGATAATGGCTTCTTCATCAAATTTCAACGAACGAATTTTGACCTTGCCTAAATGTAAAAGGAGTAATGTTGCAAAGGAAGCAAAGCGAGAAATGTCCGACGTCAATATATCTCACATTCAAAATATACTTTTCACGTTTTTCAGCCAAAGCCGTGTGTCGCTTTTCACGACACACTTTACGAGAACGGAATCGTAACCTTCAATGCAACAAGCCCCTAGCCAGCATATAATTACTAGAGAAAGCATGGTTTTTACATATGTAAAAAATTGACGCTCAATATTCAAAAGCATATTGAAAGGAAAACCGAATAATAAATTATGCAACGTCAATTTAAATTTTATTGCAAAACCAATCAAATTCATTCATACACATTACACTAGTTTAAATTCATAAAAAAAATTTAAAATTTTCGATCCGTGCCACGCCTTAACAGCTTTCTCTAATCTCCCAAGTTGACTTTTTATAAAGCATTGATATGTGGTTAATCTCTTTTACCGCGAATTTTGTTGTAGATGGACAACTTTTCGCATTAGACAGAATATTTCACAATAAAAAAACCGTCTGTGAAAAACTATACCTTTAAAATTATAGTTGTTCATTCCTTTTTATGCAAGAGAAATCTCAAGTTATTAGTAGCCTTACAGATCTTCTTTCTCAATCAGTAAACCATAAATTTTCTTTTACTGCTCAACATTCTATTAAAAAAAAGGTAAAAGGTGTGCGAACAGCAAGCGGTTTTAGATTATGTTCTTAAGCCATGAAAACCGCATGAAATCTTTGTGACTATCTATAAACATCTTCACACGTTTCTCAAGATCACATTCAGTTTCAGTTCCAAAATTTATATTTTTCTCGTTATTATAAAGCATCTTGTAAGTTGCGCTATTCATAACAGCTTAGCTTTCCGCTAATAAATAAGTGATAATGAGCAAAGTACATACAACATGTGGCTTTCAGCTTCGTAAACATTATTCTTCGTTTGTGGCGTTGACAAAACTACAACGAGAATTTCTTCTTTTAAAGTACATATTATTACTCCATAAATCTATTTATTGAGGCTTAAATAATCGCAATGATTGTACTATCTTGAAGCAATTGAATGAAAATTGATGAGAGACTTGCGGCTTCTTGAGAGATGCGGCCCCTTGTTGCAGAGTATTTGTCCTTTGTTGCATATTTCAAAAGGTTTTGAATAAACGGAACTTTTAATGAACTGAACCAGCAGCTGGTGGAAATGTCGAAGAAAATCTTGATAAACCTTTGAATAAATGGCTGGTCATGGTTAGAAGAGGTAGTCTATTGAATGGGTATGACTGGTAATTGTTAGAGATAAACCATTGAATAAATGGCTGGTTATGGTTAGAAGAGGTGGTCTATTGTTGGAGCATGATTTTCTAGTAGTTAACAACAAACCTTTGGGGTCAAAGCATTGTATTTATCAGGCCTGTTCATTGTGATTGTCCTCAAACCGCCATCAGTAGAGACAAGAATATTTTCAAACTCATTTGATGTATTAATGTCTTTGTTGGGTTGGCTGTTGGTCTTGGATTTTTGTCCTGAAGTTACATTTAAGAAATATTGAATAAATTTGCAATAACTGTTTTGGACTAAACAGCCCAAAAGTGTAAGAGATTGAGTTCAAAGATGTTTCATCTCCTTAATGAATGACTAAGGTGTTTCACTTGCATGTCAAACCTTTTCAACAATATTTAACTTTAATAACTGTAGTCATATAAAGGGAATATGGTGATCGAGTAAGAGAGATTGAATATGCTGCTTTTACACCACTGGTTTTTTCAACATCAGGTGGTATGGGGAAAGAGACGGCAATTGCTTATAAGCGGCTAGCTGATCTGCTGGCACAAAAGAGAAAGCTGCAATATGGCATCAGGCTAGCGTGGATGCGTTGTAAACTGTCTTTCGCACTGATTAGGTCAGCAATTACTGCGATACGAGGAAGTCAATCTGCCTCAACTCGCGAACATACTTTAAATATTGACCTAGGTTATTGGGAAAGTTGTCTTTACACTTGACTGTCCCTTTATCATGGATATTTTAAACATTGATGTTAGTTATCTTTGATTTAGTTTTTGACATTTATATTTGTATGTTGTAGTTTATAATTTTAATTAAATTTTAATTTTTTCTTTTTTTTAATCAAAATCGCGATTAAAGTTAACTAAGACAGGTTTAAAAAAAACAAAAAAAAACTGTAGACATATAACAAACTTACTCCTGTAATGTTAAAAACATTGTTAGTCAAAAAATCTGTTCTATAGTTCAATGTTGAGAAGGACATGTACACAACAGGAAATGATGTTCATACAGAATATTTTGCAGAAAAGCTTTGTGTTTATAATACACAGCAAAATTCAAAATCACCTAGTAAAGATTCCACAAGTGCTATATACTGTTTTGTGCATCTACCTAAAAGAAAAGTTCAATTTAAAAGTATTCATTACATGCAATAGAAGTTTTTTTCAAAAGTACATAGGTATTTGATAGAGAATCAATGGTACATTTGCATTTTTTTCCTGCATCACCAATACTAAGAATGTTAAGTACAAGATTTTACTCTCCTAAATGTTAAGGAATTCTTCGTAAATACAAATAGGGGGATATAATTCAGATTGCATGGCTTGGAGAGAAACTATGTATATTAAAACCATTGAAAAGCACAGATTTACATGCAGATATTTTAGCTGTATGTTCCGATAGGTACTCATAATTTCCAGAAGACCCACACACTCAGTTCTTAATTAACGGTGTGCTGTCAACTTTGCACAAAACAACTTTTTTTACTGTAAATAATTTGATGACGATAGATTTTAGTAAGACTTGTGAGAGTGTTCAATAAAATTGTTGAAAGATACAGTCCTTTGGTGATGTTTGAAACTAGATACATATTGAATGTTCATTATAAGATAAGTGCAGCCTTTCTTAAACTAAATATTCACCTGTGATAAATCACCCAAATCGTTCCATGCATTCCATTTTGCCTTTCCAACAAAGTCCAAAGTCCCAGGCTTTGGTGTATTACATTTGCCTAAAGAACCCTGGAAATGTATATTGTTATTTGTGTTCGTCTTATTTTTAACTTTGATTGTATTGTATGGTGGGACTGTGAACAGTTATAATTGAAAAAAATTCACTGTGCCTTTGCAAAAATGTGATTCAAATGCAATGATGCACATTGTGCTTAAAAATTTAAAGTCACCATTTAATTGAAGAGTTTGTAGTTAGGAGATACAACAACTAATGTTCAAGCTTTATGTAAAAACCGGATACAATATCTTTATGAATCGTAAAATACCTGCTTAAAAAGGGCGTACATCTTTAACTTCAATTCATTCCCTGGATCTTGTGTTAAAGATCCTACTTTGTCTTTTGCTTCTTTAAACTGGTGAGAGATTGCAGAGAACTTCGAACCATCTTCGTAAAAATGTTCAGGTTTAAATAAGGTCGAGATAGATAGTTCACTATACCACGACGAAAATTTGCATATGATTTACAAACTCTTGGCGTCACGTTCATTTGCTATAATAAAATTTACAATAAATATTTTTTTATTATTGATTGAACGTTGACGAATAAGAAAATTGATATCTAGAAATGACCATTGAGTTCTATAATAACTAGAGCGGCTAACTTTACTGGGGCGAGGATGCCAAAAAAATGGCGGCCAAAGGACGTATTTCCGCTGAAATGATCGCTTTGCAGAAAAATAATATTCTCGACCTCCCCCTGGTGTCTATAGTAAATTATAAAGAATTTTTCAAAAACAAACACGATATCACAGAATATGGATAACGTTAGTTCCATATTCTGTGACGATTCTTTTTTGGCATTTCTTTTATAATGCCAACACTTCAATCGTTCAATTGTTGGATGTCGTAGTTTCCACAAAAAGGAGCATATCGCTTCTCACAGGTGAGGTAGTTGTTTGTTTTGTTAGTCCGTCAACGATTGAAAAGCAATTATACATGCACTTGAAAAGCCATAAAATACATATTAAAGATCGTATTTTTTAAGACTGACTTGAACGCCAAATATACTGATGTTTTCCTGTTTTTGTTTATAAAATTCTGCATACTTTTCTGTCATTTGTTAATGCATGAAATCGTAAATTTACCCATTTATTTGCAAAATAGTTTCCCTAAAGCAAAAAAGACCCTGCACACATTTTGCTCTGTGAGTAAGTATCAAAAAGAAATGATCAGCCCCAATGGTACCCATGATTTGGAGCAGAGCTTGTTATGTTCTATTTGCTGACAACATGCAGGGAAGATCAAGGAGTAAAGATGACTGGAAGATATTATTGACCAGGCAGAGTCTTAAAAAATGATAATGCTGTAAAGATAATTGATTTATTGTCTGCCCTATCCAGAGTTATTTAATTTGATCGTGGTCAAATTCTATGGATGGAGACAATGGATTCACTAAGGATGCCTTGAATGCTTTGAAGTTAAAGTTCATGATCCAAAGAAAGATGGCAAGGTTGTGTGTGTTTTGATGCTTAATGAATTGTCAATTCACAAACATATAAAATGGGAAGGCCATAAAGTTTGTGTCAATGTAAACATTTGTACTGAGATTGATGATGACTCGATGCAGATGTGAAGCTTCAAACTGTATAAGCCATTGGGTTTTATGCAACTTAATGTTTAAATCATGTCATATCTTTACCAAAATATTTTAGTTGAGTGTTGTTTGAATGTTACTAATATCTAATGCACTACACTGAAGCATTAAAGATTCAGTGATGAAACTTTTAAAGTTACTGTACTGTATATTTCTTATATATTTCTTATATTTCTTTAAGAAAAATTTGAGCTTATTTACCTATTAGAGTACAGGATGGAGATTTATCATATGGATTATTGCTGCTTATTTAAAGAAAAGTTTTCACTTTTCAAAGCTTTTCTCCAAATTTTTTGCTTCTTATTTCTTATCATGAGATTGATGATATAGAGGTAATACAATACAATAATATTCTAATTTCTAAAAAGCTTTTAAGCTTCTAGCATAAAAGTACAGTATAGGTATGTAATTCATTTGGTTTTATTGCCTTGCTATGACATATCTACTTGCACTTCATCATTCTTATATGAACAAAACACCAGATGTGGATACTCAGAGAACAAAATGCACTACCAACTGCTTATGAAATTTATTATTGAGGTGAAAACTGTGTTAATCATTCAAATTATAGTGCACTTTTATTGCAAATATAGGAAAAACAAAACAAAGTGAAAAAGAAAGGTAGAAGTATTAAAACTACAAATGAATTATAAACACCATTGGAAGCATAAGTGTTTTGATGATTATTTGCATTTTGCCCAATTCATATATCAATACAATCAAAATCACAAAAGGTTACTTAAAGTAATTTCTAGTAATTTAAAGTAATTTAATATGCACATGAAAACATGTGACTTGGACGAGATTTGAACTCGCACCTTCGGATACTGGTGTGCCGCTCTACCTGTTGAGCTACCAAGCCCACAGGGATTGGAGACGAGTCAAATTTCTTAAAACTGCGTATGGACGAGAGATTCTCGCCACTATATAGTAGTTTACTGGATGGCACCGTGTTTCGACTTTATTCCAAAGCCATCATCAGAGAATACATGTAATATATTAATCCTAACACAGTTTTAATATGCACATGAAAAACATGTGACTTGGACGAGATTTGAACTCGCACCTTCAGGATACTAGTCTGCCGCTCTACTTGTTGAGCTACCAAGCCCACAGGGATTGAACACGGGTGAAATCTCTTAAAACTGCGTATGGACGAGAGATTCTCGCCACAAAAGTAGTTTACTGGATGGCACCGTGTTTCGCCTTTATTCCAAAGCCATCATCAGAGAATACATATAATATATTAATCCTAACACGGTTTTAATATGCACATGAAAAACATGTGACTTGGACGAACTTTGAACTCGCACCTTCAGGATACTAGTCCGCCGCTCAACCTGTTCAGCTACCAAGCCCACATGGATTGGAGACCAGTCAAATCTCTTTCAAACTGCGTTTGGACAGTGGCGGATCTAGGATTTTTCAAACATCAGTCATAAAACGTCGGGGGCGATCCGCACCTGGGGTGGTCTGAGGCATTCTCCCCTGAGAAATTTTGAATTTCAGAACCTTGAAAATGCCATTTTCAGCGTTTTAGAGCAATACAAAATGTATTTTGTGGGCATCGGTTTTGCGTAAATACAACACATTTTGCTTACTTTTTTTTCAAAAAAAAAATGAAGTGAACAATACTTGAATGTTTTGCCAAATATTTAGGCTCATTATCATGCCAAATATATGGCTCATTAGCATGTCTAGGAACATAAAATTTATTTCACAATAATGCTATTCAAAAACAGATACAGTCTTTAAAAATTTCTACCAAGTTGTCAGGCATAGACCCCCCTAGAGACCCCCATTCAAACCTCTATGTAACGAGTTAAGTTAGAAATTTGGTACTACAAGTGACAGTTCATAGATATAGAAAAGCTCAGACTTCAAACCATGCAAGTTTATTGTAACCCTTTACCCATCTCCACATCAGTGTCAGCAAATTCACTTTTTGAGAAAAACTCAAAATTTTTCTGCCAAAGATTAAGCAAAATTATCAGAGTAAAATTTGCAGTTAAGACAGCTTAATGTCATAAATGTTTATTAGGCATTTCACTAGACTATTATCTTCTGTAAGTATATGCAAGGTGTGCTATATAGCAATCACTAGTAGCATTGTATTTGCAAATACAAACAGAATGTAACCAACATGTCTTTAATTATATAATTACATGAATGTTATATTTGGTTCATGTGTCATGCTTACTGGTTATGATAAATATCTTTTGATATGATCAAAGCTCGTTTGATCTGAAATAATTTAGTTTAGAAATTATAATGATCATCAGAAAAATTACATAGTGATCATGAAAATACTTTGCTGTTTTGCCAAATTTCAAGGTTTATCTGCATACATAGGAAGACATTTTTACTCTATAAAAAATGCTTTTCATACATCAATAGCCCTTTGGATTTTATGGCAAACTTTGGATTTTATGGTATGAGCCATAGATTAACACACCTTTACATCTCTACATGAGGTGTTCAGTTTGAAAAGGGACAATATGTGACATGGGACAACATTTCATGTATGTGAAATACTCAGGTTTAATACCATTCCAGTCAAATTGTCAAAATAAAAGCTTCATGGATCAGAAGACTCAAAATCACAGGTTATAGTAAACAGCTTCTCATGTAATCAATGTTAGTTTTCTCAAATCTTAAACAATATGTAGTATAACTGTCCAATGATTGAATGATCAATGATCATAAACTGAAAAGCCCCAAACATTTGCTTATGATAAAGTAAATAATAGTATGGCGCCTTATGGCTACAGATTTTTTGTCCATTGAAATATATTTGCAGGAATGTAGGATTTTGCTGCCATATAACGGCCACGATTCCCCAAGCACTAAAGAAATTATAGCTAAAACTCCTTCGGCAACAACAATTTTAGAAGCATCAATCTGCTTACCATATGCCATATTGACATAAATCGCATCACATACTCGCATAAATTGACTTTGATATATTACATTCATGCATACACTTCACTTGTCCTTTACTTACGATTTTGGATGTAAATTTCTGCTGATAAAACTCAAAACAATGTTGGCTTTCTTTTGAACATCAATGACTGAAATGTCGCTCGCGAGATCGTCTTCGCCAAGCATTTACAATTTATCCATAAATTTTTCACCCTCTTGAAAAATTCACAGTTTGGACAGCTTCATTCATGTCAATATATGAATTTGTAAAGATTTCCATAAAATCCATCTGATTGTAGTTTAGTTTCTATCATGCTTATAAAATTGCTATGAAACGATCAAACATTCAATTCAGACAGTGAGCTTGACTATGTTAGTTCAGTTGGCTATCAGTCGAAATCCGTCAAACCAATCACAATAAAACAAAAATTCAAATGAACCAATTGTAAGATAGCAATGAAGTATTTGCCGGTTGCCAGTCTCCCTTAAATTTGCGCAAATTTGCTCATTATACTGAACTACCATTTTGCTTGCACCAAGTCAAATGGAAGAGAAATGGAGTGCAAACAATGACCATTAAGTCGAGTACGTATATTTCCGATCGTATTGAAGTCACATTTTAACAGATGGAAAAATAATGCTACAAGTTAATGTTTCCTTGACACTTGTAAGAGTTTCTTAAAGAATCCTTTTACGTGGAGAACTGTGTCTTTACATGATCGCCGATATTGCTTTTGCTCAAAAGTCTTGGTAGTGTTTATGCCGATGAACTAAAATGGCGGGATAGCTGGTCATTTATCGTCACAAAACGTGGCCAGAAATACTCAGAGAAACATCATCACGCAGCAGACATATCGAACTGGGGTGAGCCTGTCACTGCTCGTGCTACAGTTCCTCTTGTTCCTGCTAAACAATCTCAATGTGCTTGGGATGACAGTGAAGAATCAAAGCGAAGAAGAATGTTTTGTGATAAGTTTGAAGGCTATGGAAGTGTATGCAGTTGTAAGTATCTTTTCGTTACATCCATGTAGGATTAGATTTCTTATTTAATTGAACGTACAGCGATGTGTTCAGTAATTTTGCCATTCACATTGTGCATTAAAACTTCGAGAAAATATTCTGAGAATACTCCATGGAAAAATTGTAGAAATAAGGATATCACTGTTATTGCAGCTAATGTTAGAACGATATGAAGAACTGACAGAATATGTTCTTAAATGTTGTAGGTAATAATCCTGCTCCAATTGAAATTAAAACAACACCGTTGAAGTTAGAAAAGTTCAAGACATTCCTGTTGCTGTGATTGCTAGTAACAGGCCACATTATCTTTATCGTGGCTTACGGTCAATGTTGTCAGCTCATGGAGCAAAGAAGGAGTTATTTACTGTATTTATTGATGGATTCTTTGAAGAACCAGCTGCTGTGGCAAGGCTATATGATGTAAAAGTCGTACAGCATATTCCTATTAGCAGTAAGAACGCTAGAATATCACAGGTTGGTAAGGCTTTTTCTTTGAGAGTGTTTACACGATGTAATCAAAATTTTTTCGTTCCTTTTATTACTTTTTAAATGTATTTTCTCTTCCTCCCAGCATTACAAGCGAACATTGACAGAGACGTTTAATGCTTATCCCAATGCTGGGTATATGATTATTTTGGAAGAAGATTTAGACGTATCTGTGGACATATTTAGTTATTTTAATCAATTTTGCCTTTAATGGATACAGATGAAAGTCTGTACTGTATATCGGCGTGGAATGATCAGGTTTGTTATAAACGAAAGCTAACAACATTCTTTTCATCTTTTAGTCTTTTACTCTATTGTTGGCTTGTGTTTGCTACACAACAAAATTTTAATTCGTTTTCAACTTTATTAACGTGGTTTTGAACGTCTCTGATTCTTTTGCTTTTTGTCGAGTCCAGTTTATCTCTGGAGAGTGCAGAATGTAAATTAAATAAATCTCAAATATTTTTCACATTATAATGGAAAATGGAAATCTCCGTACAAGAATCTGTTATCTTATTGTAGTTTTCATTGGTTACATTATGTTTGTCTTTATCGAGCTTCCTTCCTTGCACATCACAAAGTGAAATTTAGGAAATTTACCTTAGAAATGGTACATCCATTGAAAAACTAATTTATGTGATTAATGATTTAATTGCAAAACAAGTATTTCTATTTTGGGGTTATGATCACACGTGTAATGATCCTGCAATGTTATATCGTGTAGAAACAATGCCTGGTTTAGGCTGGTGAGAATTTTATTACTACAAATGATTTTGTTTACGCTATGACATCACGCAACAGTGACGTCATGCTACAATGACATCACACTACAAGCACATCACGCTGCAATGACATCACGCTACAATGACCTCACGCTGCAATGACATCACGCCACAATGACATCACGCAGCACTATAAATGTATAGATAGTATAAACTTATGTCATTTGATTGTTAGAGATGTCTATCTACTGTTTTTTACAGGTTGGCAGAGCCGTTGGATCACAGTAAAATCCTTGCAAGAACGAGAAAGACTTTGTTCCAGAAACATCTGATAAAACATATATATTTTATATTGAAATGAAACATGCTAACGACTGGACAACATGGAATAATATAGCGAGATGTTTACGAATCTGGGACTTAGATGCTCGAGGATTTCATAAAAGCATGTGGAGATTATGGTTAAAGGGTAATCACGTGTTAATTGTTGGATCACCGGCTTCACCTTACGCCAAACATAAACCAATTAACTTAAAACCTATTTTCATTCCTAAAAAAATCGGAGACTGCGTGATCATCTTTGATTAGAGATATCATTCGTTTATCATGCGGGATTTAAGCTAAATGAATGTGGGGAAATCTTGAAGTTTAAAAAACTTTAATGTAAATGTGATTGGAAAAATTTTCATCATGGTTTGATCAAGGAAATGAACTCGTTGAACAAGGAATATAAGAGGAAAAAGATAACTTTCAATTTGTTCAGTTTTACTGTTAATAATGTAATTTTAAGGATTACAACCACGGAAAAGAAACAATCGCGCTTTTCCCACAAAACATTTACCGCATTTGAAAGTCCTGCTATCGTTACATCGCTAAAGATAATTATTTGAAAACGAACTTACCTCTCATTCTTTCCCTTTGTCCCATCCTATTAGGATTGCTAAAATGAATCACTTGCTACCATTTAGTTCTGTCAATAAAATTCTCTCGTTAAATTATTACATTACATTTTACAATGGCAAGTCATATTATTGCAATAAGCAGGGCTCCAATGTTCATAATAAGTATTGAGCACGACAAAAGCTTTTCTATAACATGTGGGTGATTCCCACGTGAATAAATTACAAGCTTTTGATATGCCTTCTAATTTATTTGTTGACGTAACAAGTTGAATAAAGGTGGTCAGGTGGGAGAAAAATGATAACTCTCCTAGCTATGGTGCATTGAATTGCGGTTTTGGGTGAGATAATTTTTTGTTCATACTAGATAAAATTTACCACAACACGACATGCTCTGTCTGCCGTCATAACCTTACAATCATTGATTTCGCAAACTCTTCATTGAGGAAACAAAAGAAGTATTCTTTTGTTTTCTCCAAACCTCTGGGGAAAAGGCTTTGCTTTCTTTTACTAACCAATGTCGTTAGTTAACTTATAACCAGGCTTAATTCCTTTTGTCTTTGCCCTGCATATATTTTCATGCAATCAATGAATTTAATCCCTTTTTATCATGGTTTGAACAAAATTGACGAATGAATTAATAATTAATTCATGTGATATATGAAAGTTATCAGAAGAAAAAGTAGGGTCTTTCACTTCGATAACCCTATTTGACCGAGCTGTTCGTCTGGGAAAGGTGAAAGTCTGTTGGAAGTCGAAGACAGCCTTCAAGAAATGCGACTAATTGTTGGAAAGGACGAGCAACTGAAGACATGACACGGTTGAGATATTTTAGCCATGTTTGAAAGCGGCAGGTTAAATACAGAAAAATCGTCGATGACATAAAGATGTAAGTTTGAGATCGATGAATTAAAATGTATAACCCAATTGTGATGTGAATTCTCGTTACAGCATATTCAAAGCATCGTTATGAGTCCTATTTGTTCGAAGGAATGATCGATTTCTTTGGTTTCTTAGTATTTCTATGTTTCGATCTTGGAGCACAAAAATGCCGTCAAGTTTCAGTTACATATTGAAGTGAGAACACGAACGAAACTGCCAAAAGTTTCCCACTATTCTTGACATCAATTATTGGACCTCTTCAATACATGTCCAGAAAATATTTTCATTTTTGCATTCATCGTTATCATTCACATAAGTGTGATGATTTTGCATTTTGCCTATTTCTAACAACTGGCCATTGTTAGAAATAGCAAGTTCAATCCTTTGTCTTTGTGACAAAAGGATATAATATTTTATGTCTCCCGAGCAGGGCCGGATTAAGATGTGTGGAGGCTCTGAGCAGCAAAATACGTAGTAAAGATCCCTTTCCCTTACTCTAAACGCAATGTGCTGCTCATTTTCAACAGTAAAATTTACTTTCAAATTTCGTAAAGCATTTGATAAAAGTATAAACTTCGAATATAGCGTGTAAAGCGGTTGCATACGACGAGTGAATGCTGCTACTTGAGATAAAGTAGTTATTGCGATTTTATTCTGGCAGTCTTTGATAAGTTCTTCCAAGTTTATTTCTGTTAGAATATTGTCCTCAATGCTCATCAGAGCAAAATGGCTGAGTTTACTGTGATTCGTTGTCATACGTGGTCTGTTCTTCATCAGCTGAAATTGATCCAACAAATAAACTAAATGCTTTTCCTTCGTCTTTGAAGCAACTATGTTTATTCTTCCTTTGAATAATGTGAAGGCCCTTGTTTGTGGAGGCTTCTAGACAGCTTCCTTTGGTTAATCCGTCCCTGCTCCTGAGAGGAACTACTGTAGCATCAAGTGATGTTATAGTAGGTGAGATAAAGTGGGTAATTCACTTGAGAAACGTTCAAATGAATTACCTCAAATATATATTATAGAGTATACAAGATATTGCAACATGGGGCAAAATGTTGCTGAATCTTCAAATGCGATGATGTTTTATAAACCTTCGTACCTTCGTACCTTCGTACATTCGTTAATTATCTTGTTTTTATCTAGGTATTTTGAATTATATCGCATGTAATAAATCGTTTGACAATGTTACAGAACACTGCATGTGTTATAACATTGAGGGTGTTACAGCACAATGCACGGTTCAAACGATAAGCTTTCCGCGAGTCTTATAATCTTCAAAGAGTTGTTCACTTAACATACATGTTCAGTCATGTACAGTGTCGAGCGTACGGACAGTGAAAGAACGCGAACTCTGGCAGTGGTATGTGCTAAACAATTGTTTGTTTCCATTAAACAAATAACTCCTTCTTCAGTCTTTTTTTAGGTACAAGAGATGAAGATCAGGAAGAAGATAGAGGAGTACGTTATTATTTTTCCTGTCCTTATCTTAACTTGTTTTAGATTTTCGTTTAGATGAGGAGGAGGCTGATGAAAAGTAGAGGAGGATGCTGACGGAGAGACAAGAAGGATGCAGATGAAGAGACGAGGATGCAGATGAAGAGAAAAGGAGGATGCAGATGAAGAGACGAGGATGCAGATAAAGAGAAAAGGAGGATGCAGATGAAGGGACGAGGAGGATGAAAATGAATGGACAAGGAGGATCAAGAACGGACAAGGAGGATCAAGAAGGATATAGAGAAGTATGTTACTTTTTTCCTGTCATAATCGCAACTTGATTTTTAGGTACTTCGTTTAGATGAGGAGGATGCTAATGCAGAAACGAGGAGGATGCAGATGAAGAGACGAAGATGCCAATGAAGGGAGGAGAAGGATGCAGATGAGAGGAGGATACCGATGAGAGGAGGATGCAGATGGAGAGAGGAGTATGCAGATGAAGAGACGAGGAGGATGCAGATGGAGAGAGGATGCAGATGAAGAGGAGAGGATACCGATGAAGAGACGACGAGGATGCAGATGAAGAGACGAGGAATTCAAGTGAATTATCTCGATTATATATCATAGAATATTTGTATATTAATATATAATTGAAGTAAGTCATTTGATATTGCAACATGCGGGCAGAATGTTGCAAAATCTTTAAACTCGATAGTCTTTTATTAACCTTAGTGCCTTACCGTAATAATCAAACAACCTTTTGGATGAAATCGACAAGATTTGAGTAGAGAATATATTGCATGAGACATTCGTTAATTATCTTGTTTTTATCTAGGTATTTTTGAATTATATCGCATGTAATAAATCGTTTGACAATGTTACAGAACACTGCATGTGTTGTAACATTGAGGGGTGTTACAGCACAATGCAAGGTTCAAACGATAAGCTTTCCGCGAGTGTTATAATCTTCAAAGAGTTGTTCACTTAACATACATGTTCAATCATGTACAGTCATGGATATCGATGTTTTAGCATGATAGAACTATAACAATGTGAAAGCACGATCTCCATAATCACTTGCTATGATTTTCATTCAACAATTTTTGTTGCATTTATGTGGACATGTCGGGCTTACGGACAATGAAAACACGAACCCTAACAGTGGTATGTGCTTACAATTGTTTGCTTCCATCAAACAAATAACTTCTTCAGTCTATTTTAGGCACTAGAGACGATGATCAAGAAGAAGATAGAGAAGTATGTTATCCTGATTTTAGATGTTTCGTTAAGATGAGGAGGATGCAGATGAAGATACAAGGAGGATGCAGATGGAGAGACAAGGAGGATGCAGATGGAAAGACGAGGAGGATGCAGATGAAGAGACGAGGAGGATGCAGATGAAGAGACAAGAGGATGCAGATGGGACGAGGAGGATGCAGATGAATGAAGGATGCAGATGAAGACGAAGGATGCAGATGAAAGACGAGGAGGATGCAACAGAGAGGATGCAGATCGAAGATCGATCAGATAATCGCGAATCGATCGGATCGCGAGAATCGGAAATCAGAAAAATGGCGGAGAATCATCGGCGAAAAGATTCAGGGTCGGGGATCGGAAATGGCGATCGAATTCAGGAAGGATGGAAATGGATGGATCAAATGGATGGGCGGGAGACGAAAGAGGATCAGATGGAGAGAAGGGGCAGATGGAAGAGAGGATGCAGATGGAGGAGGAGGATGCAGATGGAAAGACAAGGAAGATGCAGATGGAAAGACGAGGATGCATGAAGAGACGAGAAGGATGCACATGAAGAAACGAGAAGGATGCACATGAAGAGACGAGGAATTTAAATCAATTACCTCAATTATATATTACAGAATTGTATATTCTGTAATATATAATTGAGGTAATTAAGAATTCATTTGATATTGCAACATGCGGGCAGAGTGTTGCAAAATCTTTTATAAACCTTAGTGCCTTACCGAAATAATTAAACAACCTTTTGGATGAAATCGAAAAGAGTTGAGCGAGCAGAGAATATATTGCATGAGACATTCGTTAATTATCTTGTTTTTATCTAGGTATTTTTGAATTATATCGCATGTAATAAATCGTTTGACAATGTTACAGAACACTGCATGTGTTATAACATTGAGGGGTGTTATAACACAATGCACGGTTCAAACGATAAGCTTTCCGCGAGTCTTATAATCTTCAAAGAGTTGTTCACTTAACATACATGTTCAATCATGTACAGTCATGGATATCAATGTTTTAGCATGATAAAACTATTACAATGCGAAAGCACGATCTCCATAATCACTTGCCATGATATTGTTGTTGCATTTTATAGACATGTCGAGCGTACGGACAGTGAAAGAACGCGAACCCTGGCAGTGGTGGGTGCTTACAATTGTTTGTTTCCATCAAACAAATAACTTCTTCTTCAGTCTTTTTAGGTACAAGAGATGAAGATCAAGAAGAAGATAGAGGAGTACGTTATTATTTTTCCTGTCCTAATCTTAACTTGTTTTAGATTTTTCGTTTAGATGAGGAGGAGGCTGATGAAAAGAAGAGGATGCTGACGGAGAGACGAGGAAGATGCTGACGGAGCTACGAGGAGGATGCTGATGGTGCTACGAAGAGGATGCTGATGGTCCTGCGAGGAGGATGCTGATGGTCCTGCGAGGAGGATGCTGATGGTCCTGCGAGGAGGATGCTGATGGTCCTGCGAGGAGGATGCTGATGGTCCTGCGAGGAGGATGCTGATGGTCCTACGAGGAGGATGCTGATGGCGCTACGAGGAGGATGCTGATGGCGCTACGAGGAGGATGCTGATGGCCCTACGAGGAGGATGCTGATGGTGCTACGAGGAGGATGCTGATGGTGCTACGAGGAGGATGCTGATGGCGTTACGAGGTGGATGCTGATGAAGCAACGAAGAGGATGCTGATGGAGCGACGAAGAGGATGCTGATGGAGCGACGAAGAGGATGCTGATGGAGCGACGAAGAGGATGCTGACGGAGAGACGGGAAGCATGCTGATGGAGAACAAGATGAAAAACAAGATGAGGTATAAAATTTTTTTTATTTGTTTCACTGACTTGTAGCTTAGTGACTTCAGTCTTTTTCAGGTTTATGTGTTTGTTTTATTGTGTCGCTAATTTGTTCTTTGGCTATCTTTTAGATTTTAAGAAATCTTGGATTTTGAGAGAGCATATATACTCTGTTGAATTCGGCGTATTCTTACTAAGTCAGAGAGTTCCCTCGCTCTCTGACTTAGAAAACGAATTTTGTGGTAAAGTATTTCAAAGTAGGCTCCTGCCACCTATTTTGGAATAATGTTGTACAAATTTCTATTAAGTAATGATTTTAGAATAATAATGTTGTTTGAAAAGCATTTATGCCGTGATGAATAAATAACATCCATCGGTAGTTTTGAAACGACTGTCAGCTTAAAATATGCATATGTATTTAAATTAAACATGGTCACCATGCCAGCAAGTGTCAGCGTTTGATAAATGTTTTCGAAATACGCTTTTCAATGCAATATGGAAATTTGTCATCATAACGTGCACAAAATCGCTGTTTCGTAATAATATATACGCAATTTTAACAAATATTTAATGATGTTTGGGGCTGTTTTCATTCAACCGTAGCTATAGTGTGTTTTCTTTTGACGTCATATAAGCCATGTTGGGAGAGTACATGAGAGTGTCGAAGCTCAGCAAAGCATAAAATTAGCAGAAATTCTTTTCACTGTATGGAATTTTGCCCCAACATGGTAACTGATGAAAACAATTTAGAGGAAGAAATCATTAAGGTGTAAAATGATTTTTTCATCAGCTGGCAATCCATTTGGGACTTTTCACAGTATTTTTAATTCACGAAAATTTACATAAAACGTACAAAATGACATACCTCGCAACAAGTATAAAACATGTGAAAATTGATCATCAAATTTACTGGCATTTCCCCAGTATAGTAGCGGCATCTTCTTTCATGTTTAGAGATTATTTTACACCTCAATGTTTTCTACTCTCATGTCCTTAGACCCAAAAAAAATTTACATCTGTAATGTAATGTATGATAAACTTAAGAATAAATTTAAGAGAAAGGAACTTCTCAAACGACTTCCAGTAATATGTAAGTTTTAGCAAGTAAAAATGTTCGTACAATAAATTATAAAAAACTGTGACTTGTGATGGATTTGTTGTTTCATGGCAAGACTCTCTTTCTTATTTATCAAAATCAACTTGGATATCGCAGTTTGGCCCTCTATGGTCTTTAAACCTAAAGTCATAGACAAGCAGGAACAATATGTTACTTTGTCTTACAACGTATTTTTGTCAAATTATCTTTTTCTCATTTATCAAATGGGGAATGAAATATACATTGAATAACAGTTCCATTTGACTTATTAAAAACAACATTGCAGTGGGTATGTGGTCAAGTCATATTTAACATATCTAATTGTCTATCGTATTCTTTAACATCGATATGATATCGTTTACATAGAAGAATGTCATGTGACTAATGTTTTATCCATATATCTGGATCTGGTGAAGTCAAATTGGCAAGTCGATACAGTTGAATTGAATCAAGCTAAAGTGTGCATGTAGCTTCTATTTATATTAACTGCTATTTTTCCAACAAAATGATATGCACTGCAAGTCATTCGAAGGGCAAAGAAACAAACTGTAAAGAGTAAAATAAAACCATTTTTTTTAATAATTCCTGCAGAAGAACACGATGAATTTTCGCTAAAGATAATTATTTGAAAACCAACTAATCTCTTTCTTTGTCTTTCCCTTTATCCCATCCTATTAGGATTGCTAAAATGAATCATTTGCTGCTACCATTAAGTTCTGTTTACTCCATACTCTTGTGTAAAACCACTAACAGTTATTTTCAAAAATCATCTCAAAAACACCTGAAACTTCTTAATTACCCTTAACTATCCTTTTAAATTACGTTAATAATCAAAAATTGCATCATATGTGGTAGGTACATACATATTTCTAGGGTTTATCGCTCTTGCAATATCCTTAACTAAAGCATATAAAAACACTACATAATAATTCAAACAAAAAACTAGTACAACGTACTTTAAACGTTCCTTTTTTTAAGAGTTCAATGCGAGAATTTAATTGTACCATTTTGGACGTTATGAACTTTTGCTTTAGTCTGAGGACATTGGAAGGATTAACTATTGGAGAAGAAATTATATAATCTGATTTTGATATAAGAAATGATAACCCTTGCAAGACACTGGAAGTCCACTCCAACCCCCTTTACCCATTTCTGAAAAAGATTTTGTTGTTCATAAAGAATATCTTCAGAGGTCATTCATTTCTGTTTTGCATGGATGTGAATAAATATTCCATGTAGAACAACACCGAAAAACGGACCAAAGGCCGCCAGAATAAAAGCCTGGAAGGTTGGAAGGCTGTAACCAAAGATTTTCAAACCTTGTGCTGTTTTGACGTATTTACACATGCGTCTTATGGCGTACATATGGAAGAAGATGTATCCTTTCTTTTCTTGCTCTTCTAAATCACAGTCCTCGATAACTTGATAGGCTTGGTTTAAGCGGTTTTGAAGGCGAACCATCAAACCAATAGGAAGCAAGTAAAGCAACAATGATTCAAGTGTCTTCATGATGGTTTTAACTAGAAATGTTTTTTAAGAGCAGAAAATGCAACATGAGAAACACTTGGAAGGCAAATCCAGTTCTACGAATAGCTGTTTTTATTTTGCAGAACTTTTTCCTCGCTTCATTCTCGCCACTGCTGATAACGTCGTGGTTTATTTTTTCATCGGGGCTTAAACAAAAAATGTATATAACATGAATAAATACGTTAGTTTACCTTAATACACATAGTTTGAATGCAAAGGTTACAAATAAATTACCAGCAAACTGTCTAACGTCACGTTCGAAAATATAAAAGTTTTAAACTTAAGTCAATAAAAACCGATGACAGATAATTAAAAATGTTTTTAAATATCAATGCTTAGTCGTTTGTTTTCGAAGTTTCGATTTCGGTTTCAACCAGACATGACACTTCGCACAAATTCTTCGTAATTCACTTGTCCTTTCTGTTCCAAACCACTTGTCAACATGTCGACGTCTTCAATGGTCAATTTATCTCCTAATGTAGTCAAAACTTGTCGATGTTCAGCACAACTGATATTCCCAGAGCAATCCTTATCGAAAACACGGAGGCATTCAACGAATTCTTGAGGTTTAACTTTCCTCGATTTTTGCTTGCAAGAAAGTGCAATTGGTATAAGATCTTCGTGGGTTATACGCTTGTTTCCAGAAGGATCAAGTTGAACAAGAAATTTCTGAACTTCGCTTTCTGTAGGATTCTCACCGATCGCTCGTAGGATATCAGCTAAAGCACTAGAATCAACTTTTCCATCACCCATAGTATCATACAAATCTATAGCATCTTTCAATGCATTTATATCACGTTCGCTTAACGAAGACATTTCTGATTTCTTTCAGAGGCAGAGCAGTTGACTCAAAATTTCCTTGTTTACAACACAACGGAGCATACATAAATATTAAATGTAGAATGTGAACGAATATTTAATTAGGTATGTGTTATTCGATTTATTTCAATAGTTGGAGGATAATAATGAATATGAGAGAAATCCTTTCCTGTTCAAGTACGCACGTAACGTTATAATCTAATTCACCTAAATATTTGGCAGAAATAAAAACAGAAAAAAGATATTTTATTCACCATTCTACAATTTTATTTTGATAATAATGACCTCCTACGCAGTTCTTGTCTTAGGTTAGCTGTGTCAAGATGGCGGTCGACGTGGCAATTAAATTGCAATCACCATTCATGAATATTTACTAGAATCAAGTGATTTAGTGATGCGAGTATTTTGAATGAAACGAAAGGACTTCATTAAGATGCCATTCATGGAAGGGGCGCTTTGGAAGTGGACAAATTATGTTACTGGTATATAAATTTATCTTTCGATAGAAGTTTATTTATTAAATAATTAAGTGGGTGGAATTTCTTAAGAATACATTCTTTTCACGGCTCCATTTTGTGCACCTGCAAAGCTCTCATTATTTCATATGCTATAGCCTACGCAGGTGGTCAATACTTTTAGGTCAAAGTGGATTGGTGTGGTTTACCAAAAATGTAGATTCGATTACTGAGATATCACTGGTGTTTAGAATCAATTTTAAATTTGGTTAGTCCCTAAGTCAAATTTCTTCTTTGGGAGAGAGAATTAGTTTGGGAATCAAATCAAATAGTATGGTGTCATAACTTAACGAAAACTACCATGAATGGAGGTTTGCGATACATAAATTTATATAAACTTGTTTCATTCTCACTAATTCTCGGAATTCCCCACTTCTAGGATCATGTGATCGTCATGAATAATTTGGGGCAAAGAGCAACATTGTTTCAAACCATTGCAACGAACCATACGCCCAATAGCGTAAGTGGTAAAGTTTAGAATAGCATACTACGATGGTTTTTGCAATGCATTCTGGGATCGCCAGGGGGCAAACATTGTGTATTATAAAGATATCTTTTCGTAAAAAGTTTATATTCAAATTATAATGGGAATAGGGATCACAGTGCTGTTTATGGCTGTGATAACGATAGGAGATATCCTGAAAAATATATCGTTTCCCATCACGTTGGTATTCTTAGCTTTTTTCTCCGAAAAACGAAAGACAAGAGTGCTTGGCAAAAGCTGATCAACAGGAAAAACTTCAAAGTCACTACTAATACGATGGTTTGTTCTAATCATTTTCTTGCTGGTTATCGATCCGAAGGCTTTCCCAATCCAACTTTGTATCTGAAAGGATACCAATCAAAAGAAACCAGTAAACGATTACCGCCGAAAGATAGAAGCAAATCAAATATTCCTAAAATAAAAGAGACGAAAAGTTCTCTGTGAAGGCAGTACTTAAAACGCTTTGAGCATGAGGATAAGGCATTTTTTGCTGCTGAACTCACTGCTCCTGAGCAGTGTACTGAGCCAGAGTCTGTGCTCCAAGACAATCCACAAATAAATTGTGCAACAGACTTGGATGTTACAAGTTATGATTCTGATGATAGCTACAGCTTTAAAAGTGATAAACATGACCTCATTGACTGTTATTGCCAGGGCGATGTTAAAACATTGAAAAGAAACTTATTTATTGAACAAGCTATTTCCCAGATACCTAAGATACCTGGTAGCCTGAAAATATCATGGAGCAGCTATAAGTCACCAACTCTGGTCTCATAAACTTGCTAGAAAAAGGTGATGGTGTCATGGCTGATAAAGGATTCCTTGTTAGAGATCTACTTGTGGTGAAGAAAGTTCACCTTATTTCTCCTGCCTATTGTCATGGAACAACTCATACTCGGCGTGCTGCCTCATTAAGATCTCATGTCGAAAGGAATATAATGAAACTAAAGCAATTTCAGATTTTATCAGGAGTTATTCCATTGACATTAAAACCAGTTTTGGACAACATTTTGTTTCTGTGTACATATGTAATTTAGGAAAGTGTGGTATAAAGTAATCCTCACACAATCTAAAATAAATTATACTTAATATTTTTATTTTGAAAAGCTATTATTTGTAAATATAAAATTTTATCATTGCACATATTTCAATAAAAGACTACTAATCATATAATTCTTATAGAAAAGAAACACAGTTTTAAATACATCACTCCAGAAGTCAGCATCAAATGGTAATTGCACTATATCACTTCCTTTTCTGTAAATACAATAAAATCACAATTGTCGATTTGGCTTATAGCCATACACATTTGGACTTGAAAGTAATATAAATGGTTCCTGTTCAACACTTTCTTTCCACTATCATTAGTTTTCCCACAAATAGCTGTTGAGAAAAATGCAGATTTGGGATGCATATTCCTGGATGTTAGAGGGCACTTAATTTCAAGTGTCCTTGAACCACAGCATTCACATTGGTATATTCATACAAACTCACTATCACTTTTGGGTTTGGATTGGCAGGATAATGTTTTAGGTTTTGATGGACAAGGTACAGTTCTAGTTTTGAGTGGAGGTGATTGGTCATTAGAAACAGATGGTTCTTTCTTAAGTTCAAGATAAACCAACACTGGTGGTTGGTATTAATTGGCAGATATTGTGCGAGACCACAACTATTGATAGGTTGCAAAAGATTGAAATGGGAAGCAGCTCTGTGAAAGATATGCAAGACCAAAATGATTGGACCATCACAAATTCGATCACATTTTAACAATGGACGTAACATCAGGCGAGGAGTGAAATAAAACTATTTCTGCTCAAGCATAGCATAAACACAAATTTCATGCTGCAAGGCCTTGGCTCAAACGTACATATCCACTGTTTCTCACCACGAAGCGGACATAATGCTTCACTCCAGATGCCTTTCCATCGATTCGTATCGAAATAAATACGGTCGAAAAGTAGCCGGATTTTGTATCAAAACATCGTTACACATTTCTAGAATATGAGCTAAGTTTTCGTCACTTTCACCGTTTATAACCAACGCAACTGCTCGATAGAAGTAATTGCCGTCTCCACATACTTTTACTTCTTTTCTCCCAACTGGTAATTGATACCCATTACAATGGAAATGGTGCTTTAAATTGAGAATTCTCGAAAATATCACTATGACAGATATATTTCTAAACAAATGTTTGCCCCCTGGCGATCCCAGAATGCATTGCAAAAACCGCGCAAATTTAAGGGAGACTGGCAACCGGCAAATACGGTTAGCACTATTTTCCACCCAGCAAACCGCCCTTTACTTTGAAATATAATATTTTACACAATATAATATTTTACGCAATCTAATATTTTACACAATATAATATTTTATATAATATTTTACACAATCGTCGAAAAACGACATTTTCCAGCCTGGATTATAAGTTTATAACTTAAGGTGGTTGCATGAAAATTTATACTGCAACATTTATCTCTAAATATTTTCATATGTTGATATTAAAAACTGTATTATAAAAAGATAAAATTACTCGCCATCTCAAAACGACCTAGCACCAGTGCATGCATGGTTTCCTTTTAGCTTTGGTTCTTTCCCATTAGCCGCCATCTTTAATTTATTTCCGATTGTGTAAAGTAAAGGGCGGTTTGCTGGGTGGAAAATAGTGCTAACCGGCAAATACTTCATTGGACTCCCTTATACGTCCGGCCACCCCTCTTATCAGTCGAGACCATTCTAGAGTGTCCACTGATCTGGCCATTGACCAATAAAATAAGCGTTTTTGGCGTTCATAGACTCCTTTATCCGTCGAACCAGTCAAGCCACCCCGCTTATCAGTCGGTTATTCCAGGTCAATTAAAATTCAACTGATCTGGTTACCAACGAGATATTCATTGGATTAGTCATTAGTTTTCAATAATAAATAAAGCTGGATTTTAATCACGAAGTAAATGCGATAATAAAGTAAGAATAATTAATGATTTTTAATTAATATGTATAGGTAATTTTTGAATTTCAAACATTAGTCGCGCGACGGATTTGACATACTCTAGATCCGCTCCTGCGTATGGACGAGAGATTCTCGCCACTATAGTAGTTTACTGGATGGCACCGTGTTTCGACTTTATTCCAAAGCCATCATCAGAAAATACATATAAGATATTAATGCTAACACAGTTTTAATATGCACATGAAAAACATGCGACTTAGACGAGATTTGAACTCGCACTTTTGGGATACTAGTCCGCCGCTCAACCTGTTGAGCTACCAAGCCGACAGAGATTGGAGACGAGTCAAATCTCTTAAAACTGCATATCGATGAGAGATTCTCGCCACTATAGTAGTTTACTGGATGGCACAGTGTTTCGACTTTATTCCAAAGCCATCATCAGAAAATACATATAATATATTAATCCAGTTTTTCATGTGCATATTAACACAGTTTTAATATGCACATGAAATGTTGGACGAGATTTGAACTCGCACGTTCGGGATACTAGTCCGCTGCTCTACCTGTTGAGCTATAGTTTACTGGATGGCTGACTAGTATCCTGAAGGTGCGAGTTCAAATCTCGTCCAAGTCACATTTTTTCATGTGCATATTAAAACCGTGTTAAGGCGGATTTCCACTTATTGAAAACTTTCCTATCTTGGAAAATTCTTTAAGCTGAGCATGCGCACTAGTCGTGTTTCTCTATCTTCGGTCGGAAATATTTTTCTATGCCAGGAAAAAAGAAAGTTGAAAAATTTCAACTTTTTTCTTTCTTTCATTGGAAAATATCTTTACAAACCAATCAAAATCAAGTAGACGTGCGGGCTATGTTTGCCTAAACTACTGCCTGAACATTGCTGCCCGCGAGTTCGAAACAACATGGACGGCACAACCAAGTTTTGTCTCCACTCGTCTTCAGTGGTAGGTACTTTAAATATATCGTTACTTAGCATTACAGTCCAAATAGCTTCGCAAGTTTCGTTGATAATTCGACTTATTGACGTGGGACTTATTCGATTGGCCATTGTTATGGTTATTTGAGCATCTCCAGTGCACAAATAACGTAAAGTTACGCACAGCCGCTCGCTCGTGGTTATTACTTTCCTTCGTTGAGACGATTTCTTCAAATAGGGACCAATCCATTGAAGCAGTTCCTCGAATTTTTTTGGTGTCATTCAGAAATATGTAAAAAATAAAACTTGATCATATAACCAAAGATCTTTGATTAGTCGATTCATTTCTCCTTTAATATCACGTTCTCTGTATAGTTTTCGCACCCAGACACTTTTCTTATATTTATCTCTTCGATTGAGCCTCCTCTTAAGTAAATACAACATCAAAAGTCGTTTATTTAAAGCCGCCATATTGTTAATTTTGTAACAAGCTCGGTTTTCTGAAGAAACATACATTACTACAGTGGAAATGGATGCAGGAACTTTTCCGTCAATTGTAGAGAAATATTTCTTTCTACAGAAAGTTTTCAATAAGTGAAAATCCGCCTTTAGGATTAATATATTATATGTATTCTCTGATGATGGCTTTGGAATAAAGTCGAAACACGGTGCCATCCAGTAAACTACTATAGTGGCGAGAATCTCTCGTCCATGCGCAGTTTTAAGAGATTTGAATCGTCTCCAATCCCTGTGGGCTTGGCAGCTCAACAGTTAGCGCGACGGACTAGTATCCCGAAAGTGTGAGTTCATATCTCGTCCAAGTCACATGTTATTATGTGCATATAAAACCGTGTTAGGATTAACATATTATATGTATTCTCTGATGATCGCTTTGAAATAGAGACTTTGTCGTGGTGACACTTAAAACAAAGACAGATTAAATAGGGATGACATTGACCTTTTGTAACATTATAAATATAGCATGATTTGGAGTTTCTCATTTAGCAGACGTTGACACCTGACGAGTAGTCTGCCGAAATGCATAGTGTCTCTTTCTAGCTGTAAATAGTATATACTCCTAATTGATGCTAGTAAATGTAGTTGGTCGTTTCCATGACTATCAACTCGGACAATTGGTCAAGTGGACTTTGCATGCTTGAGCGTGCTGCGCATGCCAAGCGTACTGCGCATGCTCAGATGATCTTGTTATATTTTTGTGACCAAGCGATTAATTACTCAGTAAGTGATGAAAATAGGTCCAGCTTGTTGTTGCCATCACTATGAATATGAAAAATTTGTTAAATGACTAAATTCCTCATTATGATTGAAATTTATGATTTCCCAATATGTGACCAAGTGAACCACAGAAGGATGCAAGCTTGTTCTGTTTGTCATTGCCATGATTGTAAACTCGAACAGTTTGTTGAGTTGTTTGTGCATGTTCAGATGAGTTCTCAAATAATTTAGGACTGAGGTTTAAAATATACCGTCTTAATACTTGCAACATAAATAAAATTTAACTTTGTATTACATCTACATTTAAGGCGTAAAGATGTTTTTTCTTTGTTATCGTAGTCAGTAGTTATCAAGTAATGGACCACTCTCAAATAATCACGAATATTGGTTGACTTTTGGTTAGGTTTCTTTGGGAGGCCCTTCTCCTTCTGAACTTGGAAGGAGCAGTCAAGCGTCTCACTGTGATAAACCTACGAAGTATTCTTTCTCTCATTTTCTTGTTTAGAAAAAGTTATCAACTAAGTGGTCGAACTCTTCGTAAACTACCATTCCTTGCACATGCGCTGTACTCAAAAGTAAGTAATACGAATTAAAGCCTTCACCCGTGTTCTTTTGTTGTACATGCATGTACTTATATTGTCCCTCAAACCTACGTAATAGGCGCAAACGATAACCTTAGAAGAGTTTTGAATAATCTTTCAATGGTTGTCGACAAGCAGTTCAAAGAAAAGAGAATCTTTGCTCAGTTGGTGAAGAAAAAGCGTGCAAACGTGATCTTTTAGCGATTGTATACTTTTATACATTCATAGTAATATTTTGGATATGTTTTGTTGAAGATTAAGATTTTGTATTGCTCAATTTAAGTTCAATAAGTAACATAGATCACAAAGTTTGCTAATTTATATTGATGCTTTAAGACTCCTTACATGACGTTTCCGCAACACACCCGAGGTCAAAGTTCGTATATATTAAAATGCAACAATGTGTATAGTTCGTTATTGAGGATAATGTATAGATTATTTTACATAGGGAAAGATATTTATACGCTATAGTTAATTGTAACTGTTTAATTTCAACTTATGTTTACATTAAATGACATCCTTAAGCCAACTTTACTAATATTGATCGCTATTTTCGTGTTATACATCTATAATCATCTTGTTGTTAAAGATTTGAAGCTTTGCTGCGATAATACAGGTTTGTACAGCTATCTCATCTTTGTTTGTTGCCTGCCTGATAGCATGTCGACTCCGGGGACCAGATTTTTTATCGTGATTTATATGACATTATAGATTGTCGTACGTCTATCTAATATCTTGAGTATAAACGATATGTTTTGAAAGATGAGTTTACATATACTCTAGCGTAGTGTCTTCATCAGGAGTGATCTGATGTTGAAACTTGAGTCTTTATATACTCCAGTCTAGTGTCTTCATCAGGAGTGATCTGATGTTGAAACTTGAGTCCTTATATACTCCAGTCTAGTGTCTTCATCAGGAGTGATCTGATGTTGAAACTTGAGTCCTTATATACTCCAGTCTTATGTTTTCATCAGGAGTGATCTGATGTTGAATCTTGAGTCCTTATATACTCCAGTCTTACGTTTTCATCAGGAGTGATCTGATGTTGAATCTTGAGTCCTTATATACTCCAGTCTAGTGTCTTCATCAGGTGTGATCTGATGTTGAAACTTTAGTCCTTATATACTCCAGTCTAGTGTCTTCATCAGGAGTGATCTGATGTTGAAACTTGAGTCCTTATATACTCCAGTCTTATGTTTTCATCAGGAGTGATCTGATGTTGAATCTTGAGTCCTTATATACTCCAGTCTAGTGTCTTCATCAGGAGTGATCTGATGTTGAATCTTGAGTCCTTATATACTCCAGTCTTATGTTTTCATCAGGAGTGATCTGATGTTGAATCTTGAGTCCTTATATACTCCAGTCTAGTGTCTTCATCAGGAGTGATCTGATGTTGAAACTTGAGTCCTTATATACTCCAGTCTAGTGTCTTCATCAGGAGTGATCTGATGTTGAAACTTGAGTCCTTATATACTCCAGTCTTATGTTTTCATCAGGAGTGATCTGATGTTGAATCTTGAGTCCTTATATACTCCAGTCTAGTGTCTTCATCAGGAGTGATCTGATGTTGAATCTTGAGTCCTTATATACTCCAGTCTTATGTTTTCATCAGGAGTGATCTGATGTTGAATCTTGAGTCCTTATATACTCCAGTCTAGTGTCTTCATCAGGAGTGATCTGATGTTGAAACTTGAGTCCTTATATACTCCAGTCTAGTGTCTTCATCAGGAGTGATCTGATGTTGAAACTTGAGTCCTTATATACTCCAGTCTTATGTTTTCATCAGGAGTGATCTGATGTTGAATCTTGAGTCGTTATATACTCCAGTCTAGTGTCTTCATCAGGAGTGATCTGATGTTGAATCTTGAGTCCTTATATACTCCAGACTAATGTCTTCATCTGGAGTGATCTGATGTTGAATCTTGAGTCCTTATATACTCCAGTCTAGTGTCTTCATCAGGAGTGATCTGATGTTGAATCTTGAGTCCTTATATACTCCAGTCTTATGTTTTCATCAAGAGTGATCTTTTATTAAAACTTTCGCTAGTGTTATTTAACCATGTTATCTAAAACTTTATCCTACATAGTCCATTTTGTATTTGTGTTTCCACTTGTTTTCTTTAATGTTTTAAAATAATGTTCTTGACAGCAGAGAATTATTCTCATTATGATTTGGTCGTTGGAATACTTTCATCGCGCGGCAACTTTGATTTGAGGCAAAGTTTACGTGAATCATGGGTTGGCTATGCAAGACGACATTCATCTCTAAATAAAAGGTAAGCACAGGGAAAACACTGAATTTTCTTGAGGGTAGCTGTAGTGTGTTTTGTATTCAATTAGAGCTACTTAGCGTGTGAAACGTTACAGCAAACACAATATTTGTGAAGGTAAAGTGTAGAACAGTGTTTCAAATTGGCCTGTCGCGTTTACAACGAATTTCTTTAATACCAGAGAACGTTTACAACGTATTTTTTCAATACCAGAGAACGTTTACAAAGTATGTCTTCAATACCAGAGAACGTTTACAACGTATTTCTTCTATACCAGGGAACGTTTACAAAGTATGTCTTCAATACCAGAGAACGTTTACAACGTATGTCTTCAATATCAGAGAACGTTTACAACGTATTTTTCAATACCAGAGAACGTTTACAAAGTATGTCTTCAATACCAGAGAACGTTTACAACGTATTTCTTCAATACCAGAGAACGTTTACAACGTATGTCTTCAATACCAGTGAAATGTTTGGTAAACTAATCTGATTACCGATATGAGTAACGTTTTAGCAATTGTCAGATCTACGTAGAATCGAATTGGACATTTTTAGCTGACCGCCATTCTTTAAGTAGTGTAGCGTTGTGCGTTTCTATGATGGCCTATTGAATATACCAACAGCAAGGTCTTTAGTTTCGTTTATCAGTTTTGTTCTACACAAGAACAACTCATGCAAACTGCATTCTTTGTCATATGATAAATTTAACTGTGTTGACTAACGTCATTGTATTGAGGCTAAACTCGAATATTCACAAGAAATAACGGTTCACGGTACACTTGCCTAAAATATCCCTTTCTTTGCTGTGGTTTTCTTGGCCAGAGTTCCCAACAACCGTTTCTGTCAAAAAAAATTGTACCAGTGATATAACTAAGTACAATGACTAAATCTGAAAAATAAAGTGTTGGTTACTATTCCATTGTTGTTTTAGAGTGTTGGTGAAGTTCATCGTTTCAAATAATGCATGTTACGTTCCTCCAGAGTTCAGGATTGATCCTTACAAATGCGAAAGAAAGAAAATCGAATCTCCAAGTTTGAAAATTTACTTTTGATTTGATAGTTGTGAGGTTTGGCGCCTGGAAAAAGCCGATATAAAACAATATGACGTTGGAATCTCGATGCAGGCGATAAACTAACGAGGCACATATTTACAAACGTCGAACATAACCTACTATACATGTGATATTTAAAGTTAATCAGTTGCGGATTACTCATTACGAAAAGTAAACCAAGACATTGTTAGTTTTTTACTTTTTGCTGCTTGGAACTTGCTAAAAGTGCCGTTTTTAGACCATTTATGATGTTGAAAACCGTACGTGCGATTGAATATCGACGAAAAAAGACTTTCGTACCATCTAGTGTTTAAATGCGCGAGGCTAAGAACTGACGAGGATTTCCCTATTTCTGCAGACTGTTTTGATAATTTTTAAAGTTTATTTTGAACTATTAATTTCTTTTGTATCGTTCACACTATGTGTTACAAACGCAAGCTAGGAAATGCAAAGGCAAAGGAACGTAAAGAACGCAAACGTTGTCAAGAGACTGAGCTTAGTGGAGGGATTAAATATCACCAGGCCTCGTAATTTTGCCTTAGCCTACATGCTCCGTAATTATTAATCAGCCACTGCTGCGAATTTATCATTGCTGTATGTATTTGTAGCGAAGATCAGACAGTCTTGATGGAAATATGTGTTGCTATCTCTCATGGAGATTTTACCGTCATAGAGGCTGGAACGAGTGCATGATCAAACGTGTTTATATGTTTGTCATATTGATGTTTAGACTACGAAAATGAAGTAATTGCTTACAAACGACCAAATGAAGAAAATTTGAGATATTTTCACAGTGGATCTATCGGATGGGACTTTGATGTGAGTATTAGTTAGTTATTTGTAGCCATTAAGAACTGCTCAACGGACACTGTTGCATTGAACTTTTGGGACCTTCTGAACAAAGTCTGAAACCTGTTGCATAAAGTGTCTGTTTGGCTTCAGGAGTAAAAATTTGGGTTGGCAATACAATACAATTATTTTTATACAGATCATCCGTCCCATTATTTTGACTCGTCTTGGCATCTCTTTATCATCGTTGAATTCAAAAAGAAACTCTTCTGTTCGACTCTACGACAGAACAACTAAGGTTAAACCATGCAGTTTATAAATACCGTTTACAAGTTATTTGATCTAAATTGTTTTATCTCGTTTCAGAGCGAAATTATATCTGTTTATTTCTCTTTCCAAGACCCTGGTACAACAGAAAACGGTTCGTCGTTTAAAGCAATTGAAAACTTTATTTTGCCAAAGGTGAGTAACAAGTCGATAATTTATCAAAATATTCAAGTGAATTGTTTGAGCTCGGGAGTATCGTTATCATGTTTGTACAGGTTAGTAGAGTGCTGAGAAGGGCTGTTGGTGTTGATGTTGACTGATGTTTCGACAACCTTAGTGGTTGTCATCTTCAAAGTCGAGTGAGGAGTAAACGTCTGCAAGCAGATAACAAATATGGCAAACCTGACGTTTACTCCTCACTTGACTCTGAAGATAACTACCACTAAAGTTGTCGAAACGTCAGTCAACATCAACACCAACAGTCCTTCTCAGGACTCTACTGACCTGGACGATCTACATGCACAAACATGTAAGATATTGAAGCTTAGTCACAAAGTTAATTATGACTTTGAACTTTTCTATAGAGTTTGAACATTTGGTACGTTTCAAATGCCATTATAGGACTTCAAGGGCAGCGTCGTGTCTGAAAACGTAAAATGTTCAAGTTCTCGATGCAGAAAATGCGAGTATTTTGCCAACATTGAAAACGGAGAGGATTATTTCAATGTACACAAGGTATAAAACCATAAAGAAGTTTTATGTCATAGCCAATTGGAGGTGAATTGTTATGATTTAGAGCAAGTGAAGCGATTTTCTCCGAAAGAATTACTATCCAGTAATAAATGTTTTCTTCGGTGCCCTCTTATCGATATTTGGACTAAATTATTGACATTTTACGATATTGCTAAATACAAGTTTTTCAATGGATATTTATTGTTTATTTTACAACAGATTCTTGAGCACGAGGCTTTATTTCGCTTTTGATGTAGCAAATTCATGTGTATTAATAAACAATTGGTTACTTAATCGATGTTGCAAGCATTACTAATCTACTAGAACGTATATAAAGGGTTTTCCAATTCAATGTTAAATAATTTTATATTTTGTTGGCTACAGTTACAAATCTATGGTGAATACTAACCCAAACCTACTCTTTTTTCCTAGATAAGACGGATTAACAACGAGTTCGCCGTCTTTCCCGAAGTCGAGGAATCAATTCCTGATGCTAGATGCGTGGATGGGGCTGGAACGTTCATGTATCGACTTTACAGTAGGTGTTTTTATGCTACATTACGTACGTACTGACTTCTTCGTTTTCGCGGTTAACAACGAGAAATTTGATGCAACAGTTGCTCTTAACTGGATTTTTCTGCGCACATTGAAAAAGAAACAAAATATCCTCAGCAGTAAAGTGGATTTGTTGCTAGCATTTGTTTGGGAGGAAGCCTCTTCTCAATGTTAGTTTAATTTTAATGAAGAATGCCTCTCCTGTTGTAGCCCACGCATTGCCCCAAAGCCTTATAAGCTGTGAGTCTTTTCCGTTGGAAGCTTGCGAGAATTTTTAATTTTGTTTACTCTTTAAGAGAAGAGAAAATTTTGAAAACAAAAAATCCCGTTTTCGGTCCATTTCGATATCCTATTAATTGAAAGGTGGCAAATATCCCTATTACTTTGGGATGTCAATAGCAAGCTTCTGCCCATCAGACCCCTGCGATAGGCTTTTCTCGGGGTACGATGCTGCTAAAATCGGATTTGGATATTTGTTGGTAGGGTGGTTTCTTGCAATGAAGTGCAAAGTACACATGCATGTACGTAATAAATTGGATGGCTGTCTCTATGCGATCAAAAGAAGTCATATGAATCCGAAAAGTTAACTGTTTAACCGTAAAATCACTCGAAATGTAAAGTTACTTTCTAGATTGAACCGTGAAAATAAGGTAAAAGAAAGTTATTATTCACAATGAATTTATGACATAAGGGTATAATTTAAACGATACAAATGGCTTGGCTTATTAAATGCTAACTTTGTAAAATCTATTATAAGAATTAGATAATCCATTTTTCCATGAAGCTCATGGATACTTTTGTTCATGATATGAGAGTTATATTGTATAAGGAGGCTCTCGTTCATCACGAGAGAGTTATGAGATAGTTACCTTGTAAAAGTTAACATGTAAAAGCGTATAAACATATTTACAGTTGGTTTAAATTATAAGTCATTAAGGCGGAATTTTTTAACTTTTGCAATATCCTTGAATGTTCTAGTTTCTTTTATACAAAAAAAGATTAAATTCAAAAGCAAAAACCCGTTTTCGGTCCATGCTTCCCGATACCTGCTTAAGCCGAGGCACTAGAACGCCGCATGTTAACGTTTCGGTAGGAGATTTCGGCCCCTCCACGCTATCCTACTTGGGAGATGCAATAGCAAGCTTCCGCCCATCAGACCCGAGATCACCTGCGATAGGCTTTGCTCGGGGTACGCAGGAGAGTGCGGTCGCGACCCGAAACGTCTGGACCCTAAGCCACTGCATACATATCGCACCCAGCTTCCACTGCTAGTTGACATCTACTATACCTAATATTGGCTTTATATATATATACAAAATTCAGAGGCTTACGAAAGTTGCGGTATTATTAAAGTCACTACTGCGCATGCCCAGATGATTTCTTTGATAATTTGCGACTAAGTGAGCTAATTGCCACAAATATAGTGCAAGTACATATAGTTAGTCGTTGCCATGACTATAAACAATTGGTCGAATGTACTGCGCATGCTCCTGCGCATGCGCAGATGATTTATCCATTTAATTGTTACTAAGCATGCTATTTACTTCAAATTCGGTGCTTGTAGATGCAGCTGGTCGTTGCCATAACTATGAAGTCAAAAACTGTCAAGTGAACTGCGCATGCTCAGTTGATATCTTTAATAATTTGCTAGTAAGCAAGTTATCTACTCCTAATTGATTCTAATAAATGCAGTTGGTCATTTCCATGATCGTTTACTCAGACAATTGGTCAAATAGACTTTGCTTGTACTGCGCATTTCCAAGCGTACTGCGCATGCTCAGATGATTTTGCGTACATTTATGTGACCAAACGATTTAATCACTCAGAAAGCGATGAAAATAGATCCAGCTTGTCGTTACCATGACTATGAAATTGAAAAATTTGTCAAATGGACTGTGCAGACTCATATGAAGTTTAAAGCCTAGTGCCAAACACTAATATTCCCTCACCAAATATTAAAAGAAAAGATGGTACAATGCTTTATGAATAAATTTCTTTAAAGTCTGTAGCAACTTGCAATCCTCCGTAGATTCTCCGGGGAAGAGAGTCGTGACAAAAGAGGAAGAAGAAACTCGAATGTCGGAGTGGCAGCGATTGAAAGACGATGAGAATGAACGTTTACTTAAAGAAAGCAGAACTATTTCTGATATTCTTTTTGTTTCAAATGTCGATGTTTACAGAAATCTTCCATCCCAGTTGCTTCAGTTTTTCTCGTGGTAAGAGAGTGTCTGAGACTTTTTATATTTTTTCATGCCACTGTGAAATTTCTGGCGATAAGTGGACAGTCTCAAATCAACTTTAAACATTATTTTTGCCCAAATAACTTGCATTAGTGTATAATTCATCTCGCCAGTATCTCCTTACCTACGACATCAGTCGTCATATGTCATATTGATCTTGCTTCATGTCGGCTTTTCTTTTTAAATAGGCTCTCGGCGACTTTAAGTTTTTCCTTTGTAATGAAAACTGACGATGATTGTTTTGTTAACCTGGAGACCATCTTACAGGTTTGTGAAAGCTCTTCAATAAATAATAGAAAATACGTGTTGGTATCTTGGGAGTTGGGAGTACGTAGAGGTAACTTGGGAGTTGGGAGTACGTAGAGGTAACTTGGGAGTTGGGAGTACGTAGAGGTAACTTGGGAGTTGGGAGTACGTAGAGGTAACTTGGGAGTTGGGAGTACGTAGAGAGGTAACTTGGGAGTTGGGAGTACGTAGAGGTAACTTGGGAGTTGGGAGTACGTAGAGGTAACTTGGGAGTTGGGAGTACGTAGAGGTAACTTGGGAGTTGGGAGTATGTAGAGGTATCTTGGGATTTTGGAGTACGTAGATGTATCTTGGGATTTTGGAGTATATCAATCTGGTGGCTTAAGCGTGGTTTTTAAAATGGTTTAGATGTGGTTTTAGAGGGGTTTAAGGGTAGTTTAAGGGTGGTTTAACCGTAGTCTAGGGTAGCGAAGCGTAACTTAAAGCCTTGGACCACCTTTAAACCACGCTGAAGCTACCCTTAAAACTCCCTTAAAACATTTTACGCTACCCTTAAAACATCCTTACTCTACCCTTAAACCACCCTTAAAACACCCTTACGCCACTCTTAAACCATGCTGTGGAGATGATTTTTACACCATCCCAGACCTCTCATTGAGAGCTTTGGAATGAGTCTCGTCCCGAGTCTCTACAATAAAAGCACGAGGAAATAGAAATTGCGCATGCTCAGTATAGAGTCGATTTCAACATTAATTACCTCCGGAAGTATACAAGCTGCACAGATGATTTTTGACTCAATCTAAAGATTTTACTCAATCAAGCGATTTGTAAGGGTGTCTTTAATTAAGCTTTATATCTTTAATAGTGTACCGAAGAACTTCACGACTGAAGAAATATTTGATATTTTTAGGAAATGGAAAGTCATAATTTAAAAAAACACGTCTAAATTGTGGTGGGGGAAGGTGAGTTTAGCTCAACTCCGTCAGTACACAATATTCTGTGTACGTGTTTGTAGATGTAGATCGTCCAGGTTAGTAGAGTCCTGAGAAGGACTGTTGGTGTTGATGTTGACTGAAGTTTCGACAACCTTAGCGGTAGTCATCTTCAGAGTCAAAAATACTACTGCTAAGATTGTCGAAATGTTAGTCAACACCAACAGCAACAACACTTCTCAGGACTCTACTAACCTGGACGATGTACATCTACAAACATGTAACGATACTCCCGGGTTCAAACCATCTACTTTATACTGAGTCCATTCTAAAGATTTTATTGACATAGTGAAAATCCTTTTGAGATATCATGTTTTGGGCATTAGGAATTGCCAAATTTATAATATTTTTCAAGTAAAACAGAAACGAGATTGCAAACATACGAATTAGCGTTTTCCATGCGACTAAACTATAAATAAGGTATGAGAATATGAGTTGTAGTTATTGCTTCTAAATGCAATTGCTTCTTCATATTTACAGCTTTCGTACTGATTGGTTGATCGAGAGACAGGGAAAATGGGCCGAGCCTGATTATCCGGGAGTGGCTTATCCGACATTTGCCTGCGGTGCGGGCAGCATTATATCTTCGGATATTGTTCACTGGCTGGCAAAAAAACGAGAAATCTCTAAAACGTTATCAGGTATATGATAGAAAAACCACGACGAGATTACAATGTTGAAAGTGACCTCTTGATGTGTAAAGATGTAGTTCTCAGAGTACTAGATATTGACACATGTTTTTTTTCTTTCTTGTGTAAAGGGGGAGGATGTCTCTATGGGTATTTGGTTATCAGCTATTGCTCCTGAAATTTATAAGGTAAGATCTCCTTTTCTTCTCTGCAAGTTTGTGACGGTTGTTCAACAAGATCCTTTATGGTGATCTTACTCTTACGAGCCCAGGTTCTTATGAACCAGCGGCCGAACATGTGACGGTGTTTCCTTTCTATTTCAAATACTTCAGGATGAGCGATGGTCGTGTTTCGGGGATTGTCAGATGGAAATGTTTACCTTGCCCGAGCAGGATGCCGATTCTCTTCTCTATTTATGGGAAAACTTTATGTCCTGCGGTAATCCTTGCAAATGTTGAGGTACGTTAGTTATGTCGGGGAGAGGGAGATAAGAAAAATTCCAAATCCACACAAAAAGATAGAAAAGTACAGCTTCAATTAAACTTTTTATCTTTTTTTCACTTAATTAAATCTATTTTCTCTATATTACAAATTTAATGTTTTGGCTTTTACGAACGACATTAATTTAAATTAAATAAAATCTATAGCGCTGTGTAATATCGACATTATTCCTGCTATGCAAATATTTTTGTGTTCATTAACTGCAAAACAATCGAAATAATTCCGAATAATTTTGCTAAAAATTTGCCATGCAGGTGTAAAGATTTCGATTAGCCTCGCTTATGTCCCTGCGTACTTCATGTAAAATATTTATTGCAATGCTCATTGTGTAAAGTGTATAAGTACAGACTTGACTGCGATCAAATTACGTCATAGCGTCAAATTACGTCATTAGCGACGAAAAACGTCATAAAATCAGAGATAAGCATAAAATGTTTCACATTTTCTTAACGAAATGCATGTCGTTTTTTGCGTTTGAATATTTATTGTGGGAAAGGTTTAGTAAGTCGATTCGATCGTTTATAATTAACTTTCTTCTCGTAGGAGTTAATCTTTATGTGGAAACATCTTCGTGGTAGTCAAGTTGTACCACAGTTCATTGTCAAATCTCATCTTTCCTGAAACAGGATCCATAAATATTCTCTTCAGTAGAACACACGGCCATATTCCTCCAAGAATCTTTTCAATATCACGAGGATTCAACAGAAACGTTTGACATGACCGTTAAAGTTTCTTCATCGGAAACGCTACTACCGTTTGGTAGGGCGATAAAACGATCAGCGTTTTTAATATCTTCTATTAAACTTCCACCTCTTTCCTCGCGGGTGAACACGCTACCGTTGCTTGTCAAGCTGTCGGCAACGTTCGACACCTTTTGACCAATTTTATCGGGAGATTCCGACTCTCGACCCTGAGCGCTCTCCGTCTCGCTGTTGAATCTGGGTGACGAGTCTCGCTACTCGTGGAAATGTAGCTGTTTTCTTGTGGACTTCCTTGTTGTCGTCTCTGCTCTCGTTGTTGTTTGTATTCACATGCTGCAAGTTTCGCAGTCAAATCACGTATTTCCTCCTGTGAAAAGTGTAAGGATAATGATTTTAATATAGGAATGTCATTAATTGAACATCAAATCGGCTTATTTCATAAGTGTTAACGGATTCTTTGCTACAATTTCAATGGTTTTAATTGAGGATAATTACTCTATATTGAAGATGATAATCTCTGTAAATTGGGGATAATAATCAACTACAAGTGATAATGATCACTTTCGCGTGTTGCGTGAGTTGAGATTTTGGCAGTTGTTTAACAAAGCATATTTCACACGTTGTTTGACGTGCGCCTATAAATGGCTTAATGCATAATGTGCTGTCACAAGGAGCACACATTCAATTTTCAAGTTTTGAGAAACTGAAAGACCGTAATTGGACGTGAATACCATCACAGGACCAAAGTTCAACTCATTTCCCCCATACCTTCCCGTCAGACCCTGGCGCATCTCACGATCGACTCGTTCTTTAGCAACTCTGCGATGATCTGACAAATCTCCCCTAACCCTCAAACCTAGGTCACCCACTTTGCAAATGGAGAGTCGTTCTTTGTATTTAAGACAATAACCATTGACATTGTTTCTTTGAACATTCTTCGAAAAATCCTCGTTTTAATCTGTACTCAAACAGTATTCCCAAAACATCTTACCCTCAGTTGTATATTCTCAGTTTCCAGACCCTCGCGGCTTTTCTCTTCATCGTTTTCGCACACCAAAGTACCGTCCTCCAAACGGTTGAGATGAAATGGTGATTTACGAAGATCCGTCATCGTTGTGGCTATAGACGAACTACCCGAGAACGCCTTCTTTGATTTACATTGTATTTTTCAAGAAGTATACCTTTAAAACAGACAGGAAAAATTTAATATCGAGGAGGGCAGGTGGTATAGGTCAGCAAGTACACAGACTGACTTAAGCATTAAATGTTTGTAAATGATGATCGTCCAGGTTAATAAAGTCCTGAGAAGGACTGTTTTTGTTGTTGTTGACTGACGTTTCGACAACCTTAGCGGTAGTCACCTTCAGAGTCAGTGTCAAAATGACTCTGAAGATGACTACCGCTAAGGTTGTCGAAATCAATCAACAACAAAACAGTCCTTCTCAGGACTAAACCTGGACGATCATCATTAACAAATAACGATCTCCGGGTTCAAACCATTTACTTTATTAAGCATTAAATGTTATGTACTGGAATACTTGAGTATGCTTCGAAACAGAGAAATGTCCTTTGAAAAACGCGTCGTGCAGTTTTATAACATTCATACTTCCACATTAGTCAATATGTGTCGTAATGTATCCTAAAACATTTCGTAATTTAATGAAAAACGACTTCGCGTGACCTAAAGCATAACAAAGAGATAAGTATCTTCGCTGCTGCATGATTCCTTTCGATGAGAGAATGTAACCCTTGGCTAATCTCTTTTGATATTTGAAACGAACGTCCAAGACATATTTGGCCATTTGTTTACGCTAATTTGTTCACCATATGGTGTTTCAACGACAATATTCAATTTAAAGTTTTGAAAAATAAAATTTAATGAAGAAAATATAAGGCATCGAGGATAATCTGACGTGTTTATCTTCGAGAGCTCTTCAAGTTGGGCTTGGCCGTTCTATTAAAAAGCTTTTGTTCTATTTTCTTTTCGGGCTCATTGCCAATCGCATCATAACACACCTCATAATCAATCGTAAAACGCTTACTCGTTCATTGATGGAAAGCCAAAACTCAACGAAGAAAAGGTCCAGTAGATAGACGTATTGACAAAAACCCGAAGCTCTCTAGATTACAAATTTCTGCTTTTTGAGAGGTTTTAAGATCCTCTTTCATCGGCAGTAATTAATACTAAGTTAACAGTACAACCATTACCTTGAAAGCAAAGAGCAAAACCAACATAACGGTGGCAATGACATGCGTTGACAAACTGTTTACGACATACGCCACATCAGGATTGTGAAAGTTATCTAGAAAAAATTCTAAATAAAAGAGAATGTTGTCAAAACAATTCAACCTTTAATGCTATAACCAACAACTACAAACAATAACGACCTTATCTAACAACATTTGAGAAACTAACCTAGAAATTCCATGAGATAAATATATTGTGTAAATAATCATTCACAAGTTTTAACAATATTTTTGCTTGTAAAGCTGTGCGCGGGTTAACATCCACATGTAATAAGAACAATGTCGAACAAGGGTCTTGTAAAAACACAGAAGGATGACTTCACAAGGGTTTGAAATGTACAATAAACTGATATTTAAGGATGAAGACATTTTCTCCCATACCACATGAAGAACTTTACATTGAAAAAATAAGCCAAATACAAATTTGAGACATTCACTACATGCAATGTCAGATTAATATGTAACAAGTTCTCACATCTTTGACAAGGGTCTTGAAACAAATAGTATGTAAGTGTAAGTCAAAATTTGGTGAAGCTGTTCAGACACCTTATATCCTGAAAGAGTAACACACAACACTTACTTTTTTCAATAAAATCTTTGGCTTCAATACCAAACTTTCTATCATACACAACCAGATATTTTTCCATTGCTAATATGTGTATGCAACTCGGATATGGTATATCTGACAAGTACAAAAATGTTGTTTGGCCTGTTTTAATCATTTCATTGCAGTAACATCTATTTTACATACCTTTTTGAGGATCTAATTGTATATTATTAGGTAGGGCATCAACAAATTGCTTTCTATTTGCATCACATGAGCAGCACAATATCCAACCATAGCCATCAAGCAATAGGTGGGGATATCGATGTACAAATACAAATGAATTATGCTGAAGAAAAAAATACATGCAGATTATAGCACCAAAAAAAGCGTATTGAGTAATATCATTTAGTTGGGTATATACCCAACATTGAAATTATGGAAATAAAATTTGACATCACCATAATTGTTCTTTTGTTTGCATTATAATCATGAACAACAAAGGATTGCTGACATGATACATTTGATGCAAAGTCAAACTGTAACAATAGCCCAGTATAGTGGCCAGTGGGTGACAAATGACTCTGAAAGAGCAAGTACACAGTAATTATTAATGTTCACTGTTTCAAAAATATCTATTGTAATATATTTTTATGTTTGTTGAGCACATTTCTACCAGATGTTAATAAAGTTTTGCTAGACAGTGTTTCATGCATAAGCAATCAACAAGCATATTGTCAATATATAACACATTAAAAACATGACTAGTGGTAAACAGTATAAAGTATAACTGTATATGTGAGAACTACTTGACTATGTTGACATGGTTGTTTGGGTTCCTCTGTAATAATAGAGATAGATTGCTTGGTAAAGATATCTTCAGAGTCCTACAAATAAAGACCATTATTTAATTTAAAATGTGTACAGACTTTTAATAAGTGTTTAAATAATGCATGCCTTCTTTAAATTACTTCAAAATTTTTTAGTTATTTCTAGTGAAAGCAGTCCTACATATAACCACTTCCAATGACTTTTCATGAGAAACAATATCAATATGTACATTAAAACTTGTGTTTTGGTGGTTAACTCTTGGTGCTTGTCATAATTTTCAGCAATATCTTCACTTTGTTCATTCTACATATAAATTAAAAAAAACCCATAAACATAGCGTATTTTTATATCTACATAGTTTTACAATATATGTAAACTTACCAAATCCCCAAATTCATTTTCTTGTTCAAAAAATTGAGATTCATATGACACACTGCTATTCTATTAACATATATGACATTGTGATTAAAGGATGTAGAGAATCCAGACTTGAAATTGGAAAATGTGCTCCGAATAAGTGTTTTTCCTTACACCACATTGTGGGCATAAATAAATTTGTACACATACTTTTGTTAATATAACTGTGGTAATAAAAATAAATTAATATGAAATTGTGCAACCAGAAACAATAAAAGAACACTTTAAAATTCCTACCGCATCATCTTTTGTGTGTTTCCTTTCCTCTCCGCGTTATTGTAATTTGACGGGAAATGGTTTTTATTCACTCTTACATCTTCTGCCTTTATAATTAGTCGATCTGTATTTCTAAACTAATATTTACAAATGCCCCAAGAGAATCTTTTTATTTTATTGGCTCTCTTCTACAAATACAATACCATGTCCGACTATTTGATTGCACGAATTTTGTAATTTGATCACGTTTTTGACACGTGTGTTTACGATGGGAAAGATGGATTGCTTAAATGTACCTAGTTGTTTAGACTACTTGAATCCATAGTTATCCTGTAATGTATACTCTTGTGAAACACCAATGAGCATACGTAGTGTGTCTTCTATAACCTCTATTCTTGTTCTCCACTTCATCATCTATCCATATTTGTTCTTTTTTAGTTCTCAGCTCAACACAACCCTTGTCTGAAGTTCCTAAAACCTTCATCTACCCAAGAAAGATCTCTGGTGGTAACATGTTAGGTATGGCTAGTGGTTGGTCATCGTCATTGAGCCTTGTGACACCAGTTCAGTATACGTTAATTGTCCTGAAGACGTTGAGGAGGTTGCTAGTAAAGCGTCACCTAAACCAGAAGTTAGTTTTCATGGTATGCTAACGGATTACGCAAACGTTGTTTGAAAGAAGTTCACATCAAATGGTTATGGTCTCGTTCCATCGTCTTCTGAGAAGGTTTCATGTTCATCCTGTATCTTTCACCAAAGTTACAAATATTGAGTTTTTTATGCTTTTTGAAATTGTCGTTTTATGACTATTATTTTAGAGCATAGATATTGAAGAATCTTGTGGTAGTACAGGTATTTTCAACATTTTTTTGTTGAAAAATTCTCTAGTTTCAATTCTTCGAAATTTCTCATCTTAATTTTCATCTTTACTTTAGAATCCTTTCGATACGAGAAATCGTCGGGATTTGAGGTACTTTATACGATATATTGAATTTAAGTTTTATAGCGTTAATAACTCTCATCTGTCCATCGTAACTTTGCTATGATTCTATGGATAAATTATGTTTTGTATATAACAGATTATTGATGATCCTACTTCACCTGAAGGTGTTCAGCAAGAACGACGTATGAAGTTACTGTCGTTAATTAACAATATAGCCCTTGATAAAGGGTTGGATGCTCAAAATTATAAATGTCATGGTTGTTCCAGACCAATTGGAATGAGTATGATCAATGAATTCTCGACTTGTTATTTGCTAATAACTCAAATATATTTTATTTTCAAATTTCTTAGCTTAATAAATGTTATCTTTGTAGAAACTATTATAACAAAGTACATAATCCCTTTTTTCCGTGAAGCCCATGGATGCGTTCGTTCATGATGAAAGAGTTATTTTGTATAATGAGGCTCTCGTTCATCACGAGAGTTATGAGAAAGTTACGTTGTAAAGGTAATAAATAAAAACGTATAAACATGCTTAGAATTTTTTAAGTTATAGTTCAAAAGGCAGAAGTTGTTTGAACCTTTGAAATATCCTTGGACGTTCTAGTTTTTTTATGAGAAGAATTCTTGTAAAGAAAAAGATAAATTTTGAAAACCAAAGAATCCCGTTTTCGGTCCATGCCTCCCGATACCCCGAGATAGTTGAGCACTAGAGCGTTGCATGTTAACTAAGGGAACCACATAATCCTTGTTTGTTTTCCATGAAACATATGTATGGTTTGCTCGTAATACATGAGAAACAGTAAATGGGAGAGTTAAATCAGAAAGATATAAACCGATAAAATTGGTATAAAACATGTTTAAGGTTGTCTTTATTTATAAGTGTCAGAAAAAGACAGGGTCATAAGAAGTTAATTGAAACATTGCTTGGTTTGTTTTATGAGAAGAAAACAAAAAGATAAAATTCGAAAGCAAAAAAACCCCGTTTTCGGTCCATGCTTCCCGATACCTTCTTAAGCGCAAGGCACTAGAACGCCGCATGTTAACGTTTCGGTAGGATATTTCGGCCCCTCCACGCTATCCTACTTGGGAGATGCCAATAGCAAGCTTCCGCCCATCAGATCCTGAGATCACCTGCGATAGGCTTTGCTCAGGGTACGCAGGGAGAGTGCGGTCGCCACCGAAGTGTGGGCCCCTAAGGCACTGCATACTATATCGCACCCAGCTTCCACTGCTAGTTGATATCTACTATATGAAGTTTTAGCTTTATATATATATACCAAAATTTAAAGGCGTACGAAAGTTGTGGGATGATTGTTATCGTTACTGCGCATGCCCAGATGATTTCTTTGATAATTTGCGACTAAGTGAGTTAATTGACACAAATGTAGTGCAAGTACATATAGTTGGTCGTTGTCATGACTATGAACAATTACTCGAGTGGACTGCGCATGCTCGAGCTTATGCGCAGACGATTTCTCTATTAAATTGTTACTAAGCATGATATTTACTTCAAAATTGGTGCTAGTAGATGCAGTTGGTCGTCGCCATGACCATGAACTTGGGTAGCTGGTCAAGTTGACTGCGCATGCTCAATGAGACTGCGCATGCGCAGATGATTTGTCTTAAAACGTGTGACTGAGCGAGCTAATTACTCCAAAATCGGTACTAGTACATCCAGTTGGTCGTTACCATGAGCTTGGAGAGTTTGTGGAGTTGACAACGCATGCTCAGATTCTCAATTAATTTGTGACAGAGCGAGCTCTGAAATTGGTGCTTGTAGATGCGCTGAGCAAGTTTTCCATCATATATTTTTGGCATGCTCTTTGTCTACTTAAGCTTGTTTTGACAAATGCATGTGAAACTCGTCAACACTTTGTTACGGCACTCGAAATATCCGTGACAACCTTAAAATGTTTTTATTTTCTCTACAACTTTATACTTGCATATTGCATGTCATATCCAAGCTTTCCTTTGATTTGACGGGAAATGGTTTTTATTCACTCTTACATCTTCTGCCTTTATAATTAGTCGATCTGTATTTCTAAACTAATATTTACAAATGCCCCAAGAGAATCTTTTTATTTTATTGGCTCTCTTCTACAAATACAATGCCATGTCCGACTATTTGATTGCACGAATTTTGTAATTTGATCACGTTTTTTTGACACTTGTGTTTACGATGGGAAAGATGGATTGCTTAAATGTACCTAGTTGTTTATACTACTTGGATCCATAGTTATCCTGTAATGTATACTCTTGTGAAACACCAATGAGCATACGTAGTGTGTCTTCTATAACCTCTATTCTTGTTCTCCACTTCATCATCTATCCATATTTGTTCTTTTTTAGTTCTCAGCTCAACACAACCCTTGTCTGAAGTTCCTAAAACCTTCATCTACCCAAGAAAGATCTCTCGTGGTAACATGTTAGGTATGGCTAGTGGTTGGTCATCGTCATTGAGCCTTGTGACACCAGTTCAGTATACGTTAATTGTCCTGAAGACGTTGAGGAGGTTGCTAGTAAAGCGTCGCCTAAACCAGAAGTTAGTTTTCATGGTATGCTAACGGATTACGCAAACGTTGTTTGAAAGAAGTTCACATCAAATGGTTATGGTCTTGTTCCATCGTCTTCTGAGAAGGTTTCATGTTCATCCTGTATCTTTCGCCAAAGTTACAAATATTGAGTTTTTATGCTTTTGAAATTGTCGTTTTATGACTATTATTTTAGAGCATAGACATTGAAGAATCTTGTGGTAGTACAGGTATTTTCAACATTTTTTTGTTGAAAAATTCTCTAGTTTCAATTCTTCGAAATTTCTCATCTTAATTTTCATCTTTACTTTAGAATCCTTTCGATACGAGAAATCGTCGGGATTTGAGGTACTTTATACGATATATTGAATTTAAGTTTTATAGCGTTAATAACTCTCATCTGTCCATCGTAACTTTGCTATGATTCTATGGATAAATTATGTTTTTGTATATAACAGATTATTGATGATCCTACTTCACCTGATGATCCTCACGCTCTTATTTCGCTATCTGGACTTTAACACAAGATCACGAATATGAGACGATAAAGACAAATTCCGGTTACAAATACAGGCGCTTCGTCAAACCGTGGTTCACTAATGCCTTTGAAATCGGTAAAGTCCTTTTATTATTTTGCTTGTAAGCTTTTTTACAACTGTAAGTTTTTACTCTCCTAAGACTATAGGCACGACCACAACTGATAATCGCCAGGTTGGTATAGTTTCGAGAAGGACTGTTTTTGTTGTTGTTGACTGACGTTTCGACAACCTTAGCGGTAGTCATCTTCAGAGTTTTGACTCTGAAGATGACTATAAAAAAACGTCAGTGAACTAAAAACAATCCTCTCAGGACTATACTAACCTGGACGATCTTAAACATGTAACGATACTCTCGGGTTCAAACCATTTACTTTGATAATCCCCAGTTTATCTATGGTGAAACTTGTTATAATTCCCATGTATTTTCTTACTCTCTGGAGACTAAATTTTGTATCCTTTCTTCTTTCCTAGGCGAGGTTTTATTTCTGCTGTGGGGTGTTTGGCTTTGTATCCGTGTACGAAATGCTCCCTCGGCGTACAACGAGAGCAAGTACATCGCCTGGTGTATATATAACACTCTG